AGGAGGGAATGGGATGGGCCCCCCACCTCCCCACCTCTCTCCCACTGCAGCAGGAGGGATCAAGGATAGACTTGTCCTTAGGAGAAGCAGGGAGAGGAGTCATCAAGTCAAACTAGCATTTATTTAGCATTTGTAATGGGCTGAGTTCTGGAAAGAAACCCAAATACTCCCCACTACCTTGTCCAGGGTTGCAGGATGGGGGAGGGGAGCAGGAGGTTCCCACTTAGGGACCATGAAGAGAAGAAAAGACCACTTCAAATATTCACAGAGCACTTCTACGATTCTACAAGGTGCTTTTCACATATCTTATGTGAGCCTCAGAACTACCCTGTGTGGTAGATATCCCCATTTGTAAAATGGGGAAACTGAGGCACGGATATGGGAAAAGACTTGCCCAGGATTACACTGGCACAAAGTGCCAGAGGCAGGATGCAAACCTCTCACCTTTGGCCTTCCCGCCCCTCCACCCCCTGGCGGCCATGCCCTACTCTCTTTCCTCCCCCTCTCCCCCGTTTCCTCAACCCGCCTTTCTCCCACTTAAGGACGTGGCCTCGGGCTCCCCCTAGAGGTTCGTTCAGGCTAAGGTGAGAAGACGTTCCGGGTTCCTGCAGAATTATGAAGCTCCGGGAATGGTGTTGATGGAACAGGACTACGATTCCCAGAATCCTCAGGGCGGCACCGTTTCCGCCTCCGGCCGGAGCGCAATCACGATTCTGGGGATTCTGGGAAATATAGTCCCGTTGGCTGGCGCCGAGGCTAATGCCCCAGATCGGGGAAACACATCCCCAGGGTGGTTCTGGGAAACAGAATTTGGGAGGCCCTGAAGGAACCTGAAAAGCCAGAGCTCGGCAGCTCCGAGGCCTGCAGGGGAAGGCAGAATCACTAATTTCCCTCGAGTTTCTCCTCGGAGCCGGGGAAGCGACGATGCAATGATGCGTGAGATGCGCGCGCAGCCCCAGACCTGCGTCTATCCTGGGGGCGTGGGGTTTGTGCGCACACGCTGGGCGGAGTTTGGCGGAACGCGATGAGGAGAAGGGGCTACGGAAGAAACCTGGGCGGGGCGGGCGGGGGCTCTGAGGGAAGAGGTGGGGTGGGGCTGTGTGTACATTGAGTAGATCCTGGGAGTCTGGAGATACCTGGGTTCAAGTCCCGCCCCGACACATCGTAGCAGTGTGTGATAAGGCACCAGTCATTTAGCCTCAGTTCCCAGTCTGTAACAAAGTGGTACTTGGGGGGGAGGAGCCATTGAGATGATAATGCCTATACGGTGCTGTGGCCGTAACGGGCCTTGTGGATCGATACGGCCCGTTCCCTCTGAGAAGACGGACAGGAGTGGGGGCCCGGCACGTGATGCCCCTCTTCGTGGGGCCCCGTCTCCAAGTCTTCTCTCCACACCCCCCAACCCCGCGCTTCGTGGGGCCAGTCAACAAACACTTAAGGGATCAGGAAAGGCTTGATATAGGTGTTACAAGAGGTGAGGAGGGAGAGGATTCTAAGCATGGGGGACAGCATGGTGCAAAAGCTTGTTTTCAGTGAACCATAAGCCTAACGTGAGCTGTCAGTGTGATGTGGCTACCTCAAATCAATAACTCAATTGTGGGCTTAATTTATAGGGCCTAGAGATCACATGAATAGTCCCACCGTACCAAATGAAGCTGGAGTTTTGTGCTCAGTTCTGATCATCACATTTTAAGAGGGAGGAGTGCAACTGGGTTGGATCACATAGAATCAACTCTAATTTTACAAAAAGGCAAACTGCAGTACCAGTTAAGGGGAGTGATTTCCTCAGGGCAAGACAGGTAAGAAGGGATCATTCCAATTCAGGTCTCCAAATCCAGCACTGTGGGAGGTGCATATAACCAGCTATGACATAGCTGCTGAAGGAACTGTGGGTATTGACCCTGAATAGAAAGCTGAGGGCAAACAGGACTGCAGGACTTAAATAAAGTGCTGTCAATTACAGGAAAGATTATACTTGTGTTTTTCAAGGAGGCTGATTATGGCTCAGCATATGTAAGAACTTTGTAAAAATTCAAGCTGGGATGGGCAGCCTTGTAGTAGTGAACTCCCTGCCACCAATTACTCAAGAGGCTAGATAACCTTTTTCGAGAAGGAATCCTTGTAGCACTGGATGTTAATTCAGACTAGCTGATTTCTAAGGTCTCTTCTGATTCAGATATTCTAGGATTCTAGAATGTTTTATTTTCTTCGCTTGTTTCGTGGGTCGATCTCTTTCCATTTGTTCAGGCTGACCCTAGCTGCTTGTGAATTCAGACAGGCCTTTTTACTTTTTCTGAAACTGTTTTCTCCTCTGTAAAATGTTGAATTTGGATTCAATTGGGGCAGTTTGGTGCTATGGACCCTTTCTCAGAATAATGCTTTTAATGTATAAAATACATTACAAAGGAAAGAAATTATATAGAAATACAGTTTTAATTTTTTTTGTAACCAAGATCGTTAATCCCCAGGTTAATCTAATCTAATCCCCTGGATTAGATGATCTCTAACATTGTTCCAAATCACTTGGGTTTCTGCCTGGGAAGGCCCTTGAGGGAGCACCTGCCTCATGTCCCTTCTTACTGTCCTCCACACTCCCTAAAGTATTATTGAGTCTTTGCTTTTGCATGGGAAATTCCTTTAGGTCCCTGTTGTTATTCAGTCATTTCAGTTCTGTCCAACTCTTGGTGACCCCATTTGGGGTTTTTTTGGTAAAGATATTGGAGTGGTTTGCCATTTCCTTCTCCAGTTCATTTTACAGATAAGTAACTGAGGCAAACAGAGTGAAGTGACTTGTCCAGTGTCACAAAACCAAGTTAAGTGTCTGGGTACATATTTGAACTCGGGAAGATGAGTCTTCCTGACTCAAGGCCTGGCACTCTGTCCACAGCACCACCTAGCTGTCTACCTTCAGGTCATAAGGGAAATCAAATCACAAAAGCCTATCATATCCAATTAGCCCTTTTGTCAAAAGTAGCAATAATTAGAGACATAGGCCAGCAGTAAACCAGAAACCTGAATGTTTATTAGAATTGTGATAAAATAAACAATGGAGGAAAGTTCCAAGCAAAACAAGCAGTAAATATAATAAGCAACAAGCATAATAAATAAGGGTCCCCAGGTGATGGTGAAACAGTTATAGTGGGCCCTGAAAACTGATAATAGCAATGGAAAAGCCCAACTTCAATGCTCCCATCCTGGCCAAGGCTTGCCCACTTTCTGGGACTGTTTGAAAACTACAGAGAATGTTAGGGTCCAGCCACCAACACTCCACCAACTCCTTGGCCTACTTGGACTGCTGCTTCTGAAACTTCCCTCCAGGATAATTGTAAGCTTGTTAGTGAGCACAGACCTGGACCTTCAGCAATAAACCCTCATCCTCAACCACCTCACTCTTTGGCAGGTTAAAAAAATTCCCCCAAATGAATCTTCTGCTTATTTCTTCACCAAGGGGGGGGGGAAGTGCCCTGTATTTGGGACCCTATCCTGAGCTACCCTGCCCACCTGTCCTCCCTGCACTTCCCACTTCCACCACCCTTGAAGGACACTCACTCTCACCCCAAGGGAAGTCAAGCTCCCTGGTTGTTTCGGTGAAATACAATATGCTGAGCTCAGGGGATGTCTGTTGTGAAAGGGGCTGGTCATCCTCTGGTGTGAGATGACCAGCCAAAACCGTGAGGAATTCTCCCCAGGCATGTTGTGTTTGCTCTGATATCGAGAGCGACGGCTGTCTTTCTGTCATGGAGGAGTCCGAAATAGCAACAGCAGTAAAGACCATGGGGACTCTTTGACTTCAGGGGACCCTTCCTCTAGCAGGCTGGACAAGATGTCACCAGCACACAGCCCAGGTGGTAGTAATAAGGCTCTCGACTACAGCCTCTCTTCCTCCTCAGGTCTTCAACTTACTAGAATCCTTCAGGTTTCTGTACTTACAGACTATTAACTACAGATAAAGCAAAAAATCAAAACTAATAAAAAAAACTAGATAAAGCAAAAACCTAAAGCTAATAAAAAGCGGGATAATATGAAAACAAATCAAAGCTAACAAAATGCTGCATTGTGCAAAAAATCAAAACTAATGAAAAATTGGATAGAGAAACCCAAAGCTAATTAAAAAAATGGATAATATAAAAAAAATCAAAGCTAAGAAAAAGCTGAGTAATGTAAAAAAACCAAAACTAATAAAAAAAACTGGATAATTCAAAATACCAAAGCTCATAAAAAGCTGGATAATGCAAAAAAAACCAGACCTAAGAAAAAGCTAATACAAAAAAAAAACCTAAGAAAAAGCTGGATAATGCAAAAAACCAAAACTAATTTAAAAATTGGATAAAGGAAAAACCCAAAGCTAATAAAAAGCCTCATAATACCAAAAAATCAAAGCTAATAAAAAGCTAGATAATACAAAAAACCAAAAACTAATGAAAAATTGGATAGAGAAATCCAAGGCTAATAAAAAACCAGATAATACCAAAGAATCAAAGCTAGTAAAAAAGCTAGATAATATGCCAAAGCTAATAAAAAACTGGATAATTCAAAAATCAGAGCTCATAAAAAGCTGGATAATACCAAAAATTCAAAGCTAATAAAAAATTGGATAATACCAAAAAAATCAAAGCTAATAAAAAGCTGGATTATACCAAAAATTCAAAGCTAATAAAAAGCTGGATAATGCAAAAAACTAAAAACTAATGAAAAATTGGATAGAGAAATCCAAAGCTAATAAAAACCGGGTAATACCAAAAAAATCAAAGCTAATAAAAAACTGGATAATTCAAAAATTAGAGCTCATAAAAAGCTGGATAATACAAAAACCCAAAGCTAATTTAAAAACTGGATAAAGGAAAAAATCAAAGCTAATAAAAAGATGGATAATTAAAAAATAAAGCTAATTAAAAAGCTGGATAGTACCAAAAAATCAAAGCTGGTAAAAAGCTGCATAATTCAAAGAAATCAAAGCTAATGAAAAGGTAAATAAAGCTAATTATCTTTGTGAACCATTTTCAACTGAGTTAGATGGGAAGAGATGAAGGAAACAACAGGAATTAGTACTAAGGGGAAAGAGTAGAACTGGAGATTTAGGAAGATGGGTCCCCATCTTCACGATGACTCTTCTTGAGCTGATCGAAACTGTAAGAAAAGAGAAGGAAACGAGATCTGAAATGTGAGGGATAGGAGGAAGGAACTTCTTCCTCCAGTCATCACCAAAGCCCTGGGGCTAAAATGGAATGAATATTGTGTCTTGAAAAACAAACAAACAAACAACAAACAAACAAAAAAAAAAAACCAACAAAGCAACAGACCAGCATTTTACTTAAAACTGCATTACACAAACTGGACCAAATTTTGTGCTTGGATGCCCACAGAGAAATTTAAATGGCTTAATGACGCAATGCATGGCATTTCTTAGGACAATAACCCCAAGGCTGCTCTAGAAGTGCTTTGGATAAAACTGCTTTTGCCTATCTCATCACTTGTGGAAATATCTAGGGGCCTTCCTTCACTTAAATGCTGTTCTCATAGTTTGACTGTTAGTTTACTGAGCAAGTGATAACAATGGGTGTTGGATAATCAGTACTTTACAGTATGGACATCTGGAATTGGAATGTGAGGGTGGTTAAATCTAATATTATTTGTGTGTGTGTGTGTGTGTGTGTGTGTGTTCGAGCTCTGCACTTCTATGATCTGTCCTCGAAAAAGGGGAACCTGGCCAATAAAAATCTAAGCTAACCAAGTCATCCCCAATCACTCATCTTTAATGAGGTATGTGCCAGTGGGCATGCATGCCCACCACTCCAGTGGGAAATCCAACCAAAGGCCCAGACAAAGGCTCACTACCCTATAAGCTCATCAACTTGATCTGGGGACTCCCTAGATTAACCCCTTATAGTAAGATTCATTTTAAATGAATGACAACATGTGGACAGCCTGAGGGATAGGTACATTGGTGGCCTCAAGCTACTACAAAGAAAAGAAAAGCTGGGTAGATTTTCTAAGGAGGATTTATGGGAAAGTATGGCCCTGAATGCCACAGAATGAAAAGGCCCAATCAACACGGGCAAAGGAAGCATCCATACTAATAATGCATCATTTCTGCATCCAAAGTGCTCCCTAAATGACCTCAAAGGAACCTCATTTTCTGGGCCCAAAGAATGGGGAGGAACAGACCCACCTAGAAAAGTCTAGTATAGCACTGGTCACAGTGAATGATTCCCTTGTGGATGAACACACGCTCCAGTATATTGCCCATTTTCCTCTTGCAAATCCCACACTACAAATGAGATGAAGAATGGTTATGAGGTTAGTTGAAATCTAGCCCTAAGTGAATGCACACAGGGCAGACCAGAATCAAAGCAAGCAGATGAGGAAGAGCCAACAGGTGGTTGGTGCTGTTGTGACATCTTGACCATTGGAAGCCCTCCTCTTTCAGTCTCATTGAGACCGTGGCCAATGTAGGGAAACATAATCGAAAGTCCACTTGTGGGATGATGGGCCACTTCTGACTCAGGAAAGGAATCTGAAAGTTGTAGACTGTTTTCTGAAGCCCTCACAGCCCAGTCGACTTCTGTGGCTAAAAATGGGCAGGAGATACCTTGAGCCCCAATGGGCTAAAACATTAATAATCAATTAACACCTTAGCAGGGACTATAATCAGAGACTCTTCCAGTGATAGAGCTGAAAAGGCCCTTAGAGACCTAGTCCTACCCCCTTATTTGATAGATAGGGAAACAAAGGTACCATAAGGGAAAGCCACTTGCCCAAGGTCATGTAAATAACTTTCAGCAGAGCTCAGAGCAGAACCCAAATCTCTTTGATTCCCAGGGCAGGGACCATGCCTTTCACTCCTGCAACCCCAACAAGCGCTCAAGACACAGGGCTTGATTCATGCTTGCTGACTTTCTGAAGCGCTGTGTCTTTTCCACTCATGGCCAATATGACTTTCCCCTCTGTGGGCCGTGGTTTCCTTCTCTGTAAAATGAATATACCTAGATGATCCCGAAGGCCCCTTCCAGCTCTGAATCAATGTGGCTATGAATCTAATGGCTGTAAATCCTGAAGGTTCTAAAAAAAAAAAAGCCAGTGGATCTACTTGGGTGTATCCAGAGAGAACTTTAGTTAGACCAAAGGTCTCAACTTTGGATAATCTCTGGAATTTGAAGAATCACCATGCTTTCCCAACAAGGGGGGTGAATAGGAGGAGAGGGAATTGTGTTTTTCTTTTTTAATAGTAAAACAATTCTTACCTTGAAGCAACTCTCATGGCAGCAGATGCCCAAGTGCTCCAGAATAATTTTGGGCCCAGATCTGATCTCTTTGAGGCAGTAGGTACAGGTAACACCACTTATCCTAGGGAGAAGGAGGAGATCTTGGTGACCGGCCAAAGGGTATGGGCAGACAATGCCAGTTTGGGTTACTGGCTCCAGATCGTTTGGAATCCGTTACATCAGCCTCAGGCTCAGTGCCAGGATCACAGACAATTTACCTACTTCCCCACTTTAGAGATGGCCTGAGGGCAGTTTCCTGCAGGTCGATGGCACAGGAGTTGGCACAGAAACTTCTAACTGGAGGGCATGGGACTTGCTGGCTCTTCTCAGCTCCAGGGACTAATCAGTGGGCATGTGAACACAGAGTTCTTCTTCCTGCCCTCCCACCTGTCTAGATTTACAGCTGCTGGATGAAGCCTTAGATATTTGAACCAACACCTGCTATGCCAGATAGACAGCAACATTCCATCCAGCTCCAAATCTCTGAAGAGGCATATTTCAGTTCATTCCTTTAAAATGAGCTATTAGCTTGTTTTCCTAAGCTCCCCACTCCAAGGTTAGTCTAGCACCAAAGGTCTTCATTTTACCTTGGGCGCTTATTACTATGCTGATGTCGGCAACCACTTTTATATATCCATGTCCCATTTACTTATTTGTCTCAATGAATTTCTCTATCCTCCCCTCCCCTCAAAAGGCACTGCTCAGAAGAAGCTGACTGAGGGGGAATGTGTTAGGATTCTCAGGTAAAGTCAGGCAAAGACTGCTACCCACCCCCAATGGTTAAATAGCTCCCAAAGACCCAGACCAAAGTGCTGATAAATGTTTGTAACATCTGAGGCAATTAGCAGTAGACTAAAGATTTGGTCCATTCTTCTAGCCTGTTAAGTTACTTTGGGATTCCGATTTTGTTAGCTATCATGTCATCCCTCTCTCCCACATCTGTCATCTCCAAATTCAGTAAGATATACTTGTCTGCAATGCCACAGTAATAAAACACTCCATCTCTTGGCTCTGAGCATTTTCTTTGGTTGTCTTCCATGCCTGGAACAGTCTCCCTTCTCCACTCTGACCACTGACTTCCCGGGCTTCCTTTAAGTCCCAGCTAAAGTCCTACCTTCCACAGGAAGCCTTCCCCAAGCCCTCTTAATTCTAGTGCCTTCCCTCTGTTAATTATTTTCTATTTATCCCATATATAGCTTGCTTTGTATATATTTGTTTGTATGTTGTCTCCCCCACTAGACTGTAAACTACTTGAGGGCAGGAACTGTCTTTTGCCTCCCTTTGTAACCCCAGTGCTTAGCACAGTGCCTGGCACATAGTAGGCATTTAAAATGTGTTGACTGATTGACCAGAATAGGGCTAAGGACAGAGACCTGTGGCACCTGACATAGGTCCTCCTGATCACTTGACTCCTATTAAACCTAAATGTGTAGTCTAATCCTCTCCATCTTGTTCATAAGAATATAGTGTAAGTATGACAAGCCTGTCAAGTATGCTGTCCTAACAGGTTTACTGTCAATGTATGTAGTGTTGCTGGCCCTGACCCGAATGCCTGCCTAGTGTGTCATCTAGCTCTGTGCCTCCACAAGCTTCTGAGAATTGTGTTAAGTGAAATCTAACAGGTTTGAAGCAGGTCCAAAGACCTCCCCTGCCCAGAGGAGCACACAGGCTCTGAAACAGTTGCTTTGCTGTGTTTATCGGCTCTCTTGTTCTGAAGGATTGGAATTTCAGATCCCAAGTAAGCCAGGTACTACTTGTAGTACAGCATTTGTGGGTATAAATAACTGGCATAATTTCATTGGTTTGCATATCTGGTAACCCTGCGAAATCAAACTGTAGTAAAGCCATCAAATGAACATCTCTGCAACAGGGCACTACCACAGGAGTGGATGAACCTCTCCAGGAAAGAAGAGACATGCTAGGAGAACTGTTTGGTATCGGTCTAGTCATCTGGGTTTCTAGTGCTCCAGGAAAAGGGTGGGAAGGATGGACACTTGGTCACTATCCAAGGAGTAATGGAGGAGCATTCAGCAGAACCTCAACTAAGGTCCAAGGCTGACCTAAGGGCCCTAGGTCAGTCAGAAGACTGTTTGCTAGGTCAGTCAGTTTGCTAGATCAGTCAGAAGAAAGGAGAATTCTGGGGGCCAAGGCCCAGGCCTGAGAATCACCATCTTCATAGGAAGAAATCTCTTCTTGGTAGACTAGAAAGCTAAAGCACACCACTGCCCTCACAGCAATGGGGATTCTGGGAGCTATGTATACCAGTTCTAATCAAGTGTTTATCAACCTCCACAGGGCTTCTGAGAGAGATAGTATACCAAGTCTAATCAAGTGTTTATCAGCCTCCATGGGGATTCTGTGAGATATGTATACCAATCCAAATCAAGCATTTATCAGCCTCCTGCTAGGCACAGATAGTCCTTGCTCTCAAGGGGTTTTTTATCATCTAGAAGAAGGGATGAGATCAGGGCACCTGTAGTAGTTATAAGACAAGTTGGAAAGGGTTTATGCATGAGGATGGTAAGTGAGGCTAACAAACTGGAACAGGGAAGGATTTTGCTGGGGAAGAGCTCAGGAAAGCTTTGTGGAGGAGCTGACACCTCAGACAGGCTTTCACTCAGGAGCTGAATAGGTAGAGATGGAGTAGAAAGGGGGACACACCTATTCTAGCTGTGAGGGACATGCAGCTATATTGGGGAGGCCCTGGAATGATAGCAGAAGCCCTGGTGGCTTATTCTTCAAGCCAAGAGAGATCCAGTGAAGATGCCTGAGTACAAAAGTGATGGCTGTCTCCCACTTGTGCATTAGTAAGGTGGCCCGATTGGAGGCAGGGAGCCAAGCTCGGTGCACACTTGGCACAGGACTGACTAGTGGGTGTTTGAAAGGCAGAAAGTAAATGGCTGGCTGCTTGGTGCATCCTCAGGACACCAGAGATCCCAGACAAGGGTGTCTGGAGGCTGAAAGCCATGGAATTGAAAAGGACACTTGCTTTTCCTTGCTCAAGTGTGAGGAGGGCCTAGCAGATGACAGCTCTCAAGCATTCATATACTTCATGAAAGCAGCCCTTTGCTACAGATTCAAGAAGAGGCAAAGAACAGAAACGTGAACCAAAGGACTCGGAGCAAGGAGGGACAGAGAGAAGACACATTCTTTCTCTTTCTGGGGCTGGCAAATAGCATAGATGTTCTCTCGGAAAGCCTTGGCTACAAGCACTTTTATGATGTCAGGGTCATAACATCCAGCCAAACACCATACAGCAAGCAAGGGGCCCCGACATTTCATCTCCAGTGAGGTGAGAGGAGAAATGAGGAGTCAGGCTCTGGCTCAGGGGCCAGACTGGGGAGTCTGGGAGCATCTGACCCACCTCTGGGTCACAGAGGTCCATGGACAGATGGGAGTCTTGATCACTGCAGCCAAGCCAGGAATTAAGATTCTCTCTAGGGGAGGCCCAAGTTATATGACATAAGCCCAAATGGATCCCACCATTTGCTTTAGAGTGGACTCAAATGGTTCAATCAACCCTGTAAGGCCATGGCTTTTCTTTCATAATCTTTCTACCTGCAACAGACCCTCTCATGGACAAGAAGTAATCTCTCTTCTACCAAGCCTACCTCAGGGTAGGCCCACAGGCCTTGGCACTGAACCAGAACTTGGAAGGACCATCAAGTAGGTAAAGTCACTAAAAGGTGTTCACCACTCACTGGTCTTCCCAAGGCAGTGGCCCAGCCAAGAAAAGAAGCTAAGGTATTTGGCTTTAGGCAATTAGCTGGGAAGCCAACTAACTCCTCTCCTTCCTTGCTTGAGGAGAACAGAGACACTGACCAGCCCTTCTCCTTCCTTACTTGGAAGATTTCTTAGAAGATTGTTCACTGTCCAAGGCTGAGGCACTGTCTTGAGCGCTGGCAGCCCCCATGGATGCTCTCTCCCCTGTAGCAGAGACGCACCTGAGAAAGGAGGAGAGGTAGTTGTGAGCACAGAAGCCAGGGCTTCCTCAGGGCACAAGGCTCCACAGCAGCAAAAGCACAAAAGCTGCAACTTAATGGTTCTCTGGAGGTTTAAAGATAACAGTAGCTACCAGGTCATATGAATACCACATCCTTTGTAGGTAACAGGTCCTCTGGGCTTTACCTGAGGGATTTAAAAATCCTTTTGGAGGCTCGGTATGAATTACTTAGGAAGATCCTGCACAGGAACAGTTGAGGCAATGGCTTAACATCCAAGAACCAAAAGAAATGGGGGCATATCTACTCTTCTGGAGCGAGCTATGGCTCCTGTCCAGGGCAAGACGCCCTCCCTGGCATCAGGGAAGCAGCAAGAAGAGCCGGAAAAGAGAATGAAACCACCCGAGCTGCAAAGGCAGCAGAAGGCATCGGGGGTGGCTCCCACGGCAAGGAGGAGCTACCTTGAGAATGTGCCCACTGCACAGCCCTAGGCAACATCTACCTTTCTGCCAGATTGCACAGCTTGTCGGGGTGTTCAGAGCAATCTGAGAAGAGACAGCTGGCATGTCTATGTTAGACTGATGTATACATGAGAGTATAGGTAGAATGATCAAGGGTACCAAGAGGAGTGCTTAGCAGCAGCAATAGCCCTTAAGCTCACAGCCCTCCTTGTGTTGAGTGTAGGCTGCCCCTGGATGTCAGTGTCAGACCAGTTCAGGTCACGGCTTGTTAGCACCACTCCAGAGCCTAAACACAGCAAACAGGGGAACTGTGCCTCAGACCGGACCTACAACAGCTTATCTGATCATCCCAACTGAGCTTATATTTTATCTAGAGAAGGGGCACCCAAAGGCAGGCACTCAGATGTGTCACCTACAGAGAGGCCACCAAAAGGAGTCTGGCACCTCTGCGTATCAAACTCTGAGGTTCATCTGAGATGGCCTTGGTGTTAGGGAGGTGCTTAGCATGGTGCTTGGCACATAGGAGGTGCTTAATAAATGCTTTCTCACTGTTGACCAGCTTGACCACTTTGCCAGAAAATAAGTTAATCACTGCTTCAACATGCCTTTCTCTTGCCTAGGAGGCTGTGAGGGCTTCCTATAATGGCTCTCTAATCTTGCATAATTACACCAAGCGGTTCTAACATAAGGAGGCTAGTTTCTTAATAAACAAACAAAGCAGAAATATCTGCTTCACAGGAGGTCTGCTCTAGCCATCAGTTTCAATTGGAAAGGCCTTTAGACTCTGCAGCCCATTCTTTGGAATTTCCTCACAAAGGTCAAAGGGTCATTTTTTAAGGGTGGGCTTAATTTTGGAGACAGCCAGAAGCTATTTGGAGCCAAGTCTGGCAAATAAGCTTGGCATACCAGCTGGAGTACAGTGACTTTGGTTCCAGTCAACAGGAATGTTGTCATGATCAAGAGGCCAATGGCTAGCCCCCTATTCCTGCCTTCCTTTGTTGAGTCTGGGCCCTTGCAAATACTTCAGAATTCCTACTTCAGAACCCGAATGTCTGACCTGCTGAGATGAATTCCTCAGCAACAATACCATCAGTGTTAAACAAACAATGGCATAATGTCCTCTCATCCTGTTTCAGTAGGATTCACATTCTTGCTCTCACATACCCAAGCTTTCTACCACAGACAGTCACATTTTCTGGTTCTCCATGGAAACATCATGTCTTATGTCTCTCATCACTGGCTCCTCTTTGCCTCAAAAATGTGTTCAATTTTCCAGCTTTCCTTGAAGTCATACTTCCTGAAAGACTGGAGCCTGGCCTTGGTCTCGCTAGTCCTAAGGATTCACGTCCTTCCCCTTCAAGTCCTTATCCCACAAATGTTGCCTTTTCCCTGTCCCCTCCACTCCCCACCACAGACTTGCTGTGATTCACTTTAAGGAACGTGGAAAGAACACTGGCTATATAGCCAGAGAAACTGGGTTCAAATGCCACTTCTGACACTAACTGCCTGTGACACTGGGCAAATAAGTTAGCCTCCCTGGGCCTCAGTTTCTTCATTTCTAAAATGAAGATGTTGGTCAGGGGTGGGGAACCTGTGGCCTCAAGGCCACATGTGGCCCTTTAGGTTCTTGGGTTCGACCCTTGGACTGAGTCCAAACTTCACAGAACAAATCCTTTAGGGTCACACTTGAGGACCTAGAGGGCCACATGTGGCTTTGAGGCCACAGGTTCCCCACCCCTGGACTAGATGGTCTCTGAGGCCCCTTGTAGCTCTAGTCCTCTGAGCTTCCCAAATGATCTGCCCCACCCATTGCCTTCAGCAGATCTATCTGGGCTCCGGGTCCTGTGACTATGCAAGACCCACTATAAAGATCCAATGAGACTCCATCCTCTGCCTCCCTGGGCCAGTATGATAGAGAGCAAGTTTAGCTACACCTGGGCTGGGAAGAAGCAAGTCCCAGCAGAAGAGTTTTACTGAAAATCACTTGAAACCTACATTTCAGCTATCTGCTGGAGTTCACCAGTCTTGCCTCACCCCTTACCTTCTGGAGCTGAATTCTTGGCTACTGCCCTGCAGCTGGTGAGCAGAATCTGGAGTGATGACTCGATTGTCACTGGAGTAAATATTTGGATCTGGGTGGGTGCCTCCCTTGGCTCCAGCAAATCCAATACTGTCCCATCTGGCCTCCCTGACTATAGTAGTAATACTTCTCTCCTCATAACCAGAGAGGGAGCTAGAAAAGAAGGAAACCATTCATGGAGCCCATGCCCCACACTATACTAACATGAATTTAAGTCTTAGTTTGTAAGCAAAAACCACTGTCCTCAGAGTTTCAGGGTATATGGGCTTTCATAAAATCCCTTCTTTGTGCCACTGTTCATTTTGATGATCAAGTGAATAAACAGAATCCCTAAAACTCCAAGCTAACCTCCTGTGGTCAGATGTCGTCATGTCATCCACGATGGGCAGGGTTCCAAATTTTTGGTCAGTGGAGCTGCGAGAGGATGATGCAAATCTACAAGAACAGAACAGGATGTGAGATTCAAAGGGACTTTCGAGGTCATCTAGGCCAACCCCTTCATTGTACAGATGGGAAAACTGAATCCCAGAAAAGGGAAGGGACTTGGCCAGACATCACACAGGTAGTGAACTAAAGAGCTCATGTAGGCTATTTGTTATTGTTCAATCGTTTCAGTTGTTTCCAACTCCTCATGATGCCATTTGGGGTTTTCTTGGCAGAGATATTGGAGTAATTTGCTATTTCCTTCTCCAGCTCATTTGACAAATGTGGAAACTGAGGCAAACAGGGTTAAGTGACTCGCTCAGGGTCACACAACTATTAAGTATCTGAGACGAGATTTGAACTCAGGAGGATTCTTCTTGACCTTGGCCAAGCCAGGTACTCTATCCACTGCAGTGCCACCTAGCTGTATCTAGGCTAACTTGCACCCTAAAAGTAATCCCTCTGCCAATATCTGCAACCAATGTCATCCAGTGGTTGGATGGGATCAGAATCCCTCACACATGTAAGAGTTTGCCCTTTTGCATTTGTTATCCTTCCTGAATTACACAACCACCTGGAGGAGGACAGGAGGACATTCAGCTCATGCTGCCCACCAACAAGCTTGCCCCACTCCCACTCATCAGCTCTTTTGCCAATTTCTGGCAAGCCTTAGCAAAATAGAGCACTAGATTAAGATTTAGCTGATCCGGGTCCAAGCCCTACCTCTCCCTTGCTTTCTCTATGACCTCAGGAAAGGTGTGGCATCATGGAAAGAGCTCTGGAAAGGACGTTGACACATGTCCATTCTAGTCCCAGCTCTGCCAAAAGTTTGGCCATTGACTAGCCATGTAACCTTGGGCAATCTCTCTGACACCTCTAGCTTAAAAAAGTATGAGCTGATGACTAAAGAGAATGCTAGATCTCAATTTGTGATCCCCTCATAGATGATGCTAAGCTGCTTCATATCTGAGCCTCAGTTTCCTCCTGTTCTCACCCTGTCTTCTTTATATGACCTATTTTTGAATCAGATGAGATCATCTCTCCACTAACCTTGAAAAAATGGGCTTTTAGCACTACAGAGTAAGTGTAATCCACAAGTGAACTGGAAACCCTTTCCATAACATCCCCAGAAAGTGGTCATCTAGCTTTTGCTTGAAGCCCTCCAGGGAAAGGGAAGCCTACTGCCTCCTGGGGCAGCCCATTCCATTTAAGCACTGGGGAATTTTCACTTACACTAAACCTAGATGGGTCTCTCTATAACTTCTCTTAGTTGTACCTTCTGGGGCCAAGCTGAACAAATCTAAGCACTTAGTGTCCCCATGCATATCAGGAGGACATTAACTGGGATTGTTCCTGAGGTTCCTTGACACTATCTGGATGGGGGCATCACCAGTACTTCTAGCTGAGATTCATCTGTCTCCCTGAGGTCCAAGGCAGGTGGGGGAAGGGGACAATTAGTGGAAGGGACCCTTGCATCCCAGCAGCCTGCCCCTGCTTGCACAGACCTTAGCCTCAGGTTGCTTCTCTCACATGGAGGTGCCAACTCACAGACTTGCAAGGAGCCTTTGGCCTGAGGTGGGGGGTCCTATCCTCACTTCTACCCCTAAGTCTCCATGTGATCCTGGTCAAGTCACTTATATATACCTTCTCTGGACCTCAATTTCATCTTCTGTAAAATGGGGGTTAGCTTAAATGGTCTTGAAAGTTCTCAGTAAATAGGTTACTCATTGGGTACATGGCAAAATGGATAAGGACTGTTTATAAGAGCGTGCCCCTTCCGAGCCCCAGTTTACTTATTTGTAAAATGTGGGAGTTAGATTAGACAACCTTTAAGGTGTAATATAGTCTATGGGCTGATCAGGTAGATTGGCAGAGTAGAAGAGTACTAGATTTGAAGCTGGAAAACCTGGTTCGAATCCCAACTCCGCCACAAACTATGTGACCCATGGCAAGTCAATTCCCCTCTCTGGGTCTCAGTTCTCTCTTCCGTAAAAACAGAGAGTTGGAATAGATGGTATCTAACACCTATTCTAGCTTTCAGGCCAAAGATCCCAAAACAACAGTATCCTCCTGGAGAAAGAGTCATGCATGAGAAGCCTGGGCCACTTCTGCTACTTACTCCCCAAAAGCTCGGGACAGCTCCCTTTTCCTTTCTGGGCCTCAGTATCCCCATCTATAAAATGAGAAGTGAGGGTGAGGGTAGAACCAGGTGATCTTAATAAATTTTTTTTTTATTCATTCTTTCATCTCTCAAGTCCCTTTTTTGATTCAAGGGTTCCTAACCTAGGATCCACGAACTTGTTTTTTTTTTTTTTTTAATAAATAACTTGACATCTGTATTTCAATATAATCTGTCATCCTAGGCTTCATCAGACTGCCACAGGGGGCCAGGGCATAACAAAGGTTAAGAAGCCCTGCATCTAAATCCATGATCTCTGCTCAACTCCGATTATTTTATGAGAAAGGAGTGCCATCTAGTGTCTGGAAGAGTATCTCACACTAGCCTTCTAATTGGCTAATGCAATATGACAGCAAAAGCACCATTCCCCACCCCCACTCCCTTTTGTGATTGCTGCTGGAGGAAACTGGAGGAATTGTCCAAAGTGGTGGTCCATGATGGGAGGTGAGGGGGTCCCCTAGATATTCTGGAGCCCTGCCTTTAGCGCTCAGTCTTTCTGTCTCTCCCTTTCTCTCTCTCTCACATAGTCAGCAGAACTAGGCTCATCAGTGCAAAAAAGGACCTCTCATTTCTAATGATGGATTCCTCTCTCAAGGGCAGCATAGTACATAGGAAGTAGTGAGAAAGAACTATCAGAATATGAGGTTGGGAGATAGAAGTCATTGAGTCTAGGCCCAGCACTGTCATTTAAGGCTGGGTAAGTCTCCTCCCTTGGACAAGTCTCTTCCCTTCTTTGGTCCTCAGTTTCTCCATCTGTAAAATGAAGGAATTGGACTTCCAGCTCATGATGATGAGTCTGTGGATTACAGTCTATTTAGCTTCTTTCTTGGTCCCAGGACAAAAGAGAAGACAGTGGCTAATGTGGAGCCTGGGCCTGGAATGCCTTCCTCTTTCCCCCTTGGCCTCCTTCCTAGACAAAGCCTTTCTTCATTACCTCAATTCTCCTGCCCTCCTCCTCTCTAACTACTTTGGATTTATTCTGGAGATATTTAAAGAAAACACTTAGATATCTCTCCCAATAAAGCAGTGGCTCTTTGAGATAATTTCTTTTGCTTTGTGTTTCATCTAGCACACTATATGGCACACAGGAAGCCTTTGACAAATGCTTATTGCTTACTTGACAGGACAAGTGCTAAATGTGGGGGCAGAGGCCCCGAGTTCAAAACCAGGTTCTGTTCCAGTGGCAGCACTGTATTACATGCAGTGACAATGCCAAGTGCTGCGTTAGGAGTGAGAAGACCTGGGTTCGATTTTCAGCTCTACCACTTACTGCCTGGGTGGCCTTGGGTAAATCACTTCCATTCTCTGGCCTCTGGTTTCATTGTCTGTAAAATGGAAACTGGGCTAAATGACTTCCAAGATCCCTTCAAGCTATGTATCTATTAAGTAATATGTCTCACATTTGTGCGACTTTGACTAAGTTTTCTTAATCTCTCTGGGCTAGATGACCTCTGAAATCACTTGGAGCTCTGCGGAGATGATCCCATAATCCAAGGCCACATTTCATGTGGCCCTTCCCCTCCAACTGAGGCCGGTCTTGATAAATCCTCCTTGCTTACCTGCGGGGTTCAGATGGCATAGGATCATCTGAGCCGGCTGAACTTCCATATCTCTTTTCAGTGGTGCTAACAGTGGAGGCAGAGACATACCTGCAACCACAGAAACAAAGAATCTTTGAAATGAAAGCAGTCTTTGGAGACCACGTAGTCTACCCCTGTCACTTTGTTTCAATTTGTACATGGGGAAAACTGAGGCTTAGAGAAGAGTGACTTGGCCAAAGGCACACAGCGAGGGAGAGGCCAGGCCTAGCACACAGGGTTCCCTCCTCCCCAGACAGTGTTTCCCCTGCATTGCAGTGCTCTTTGCTAAGAGGGGAGAGGGCGTGCGGATTGCACATTGCACCAGGATGCACAGTTCTAGCACCCAAATTCTTCAGCCCAGTGGCCACTGTGGAAGTGAGTGGGTCCCCACTAATGTCTTTTCCTACGTTGTGGTGTTCTTTCTAGGTCTGCAGGATTGTACGTTCATGGAACGATCGTACTGGTCATCAGGAGAAAACACACCACATTCCTCTGAACCAGGCCTAATAAAGACAACAAATTATAAGTCACGTGCCTTAATGGATGGATCTGAGTTCCCATCAGAGACACTTGGGAAGAACTGGTGGAAAGCTCCTTGCACTAGAAGGTTTGGATTCTAGTCTAGTATCTACAACTGGTTGACTATGTAAGTCAAATTTCTTCCCTTCTCAGGGCTTTAGTTATTCCCTCTGGAAAATGAGAGGGTTACATTAGATTGGCAAAATTGATAAAATAGGAAAATGACAAATGTTGGAGGGGTTGTGGGAAAACAGGCACATGAATCCTAAATTCTAGCCACTCTGGAAAGTGATTTGGCACTATGCCCTGGAAGTTACTAAACTGTAAACTCTTTAACCAAGTAGTACCACTACTAACTAGGCCTACATTCCAACAAGATGAAAAAGGAGAAGGTTCCATGTGAATGAAGTGAGCAGAACTAGAAAAACAGTTTAAACTATAAATAACAATGCTTGTAAAAATGAAAAATTTGGCAAGATTTAAGAATTCTGATCAATGCAATGATCAACCATAATTCAAGAAGACCTATGAAAAATGGTGCCTACCTCCTGACAGAAGAGGTAATGGACTCAAGATGCAGAAGAAGATATACGTTTATCGGTATGGTCAGTAATTGAAAAAATAATTTAATTACACATTTAAAAAAGAGAAAAATGTAAAAGTAAATGAAGGGGTTAGCTGAGCTGCTTTCTGAGGGCCCTTGTAGCTCTAGCATTCTACTCCAATTCTCCAACTCCTGGAGCCCTTTGAATCAATCAACTCCACTGGCTCCCTATTGCCTTTAGGATGACAGCTTTCAAAACCCTTCACACACTGGCCCAAAGTGATCATTCCACCTCCTCTTCCACTCTGTGATCTTGCCAAACCAGCCTTCTTTCGGTTCTTTACCCACAGTCCTTCAGTTCCCATCTTTGTGCCTTTGCTCCAGCCACTCCTCTTCACCTCACAGAATCGATCTCTTTCTCAAGCACCATCTTCTACATGAAGCCCTTCCTGATCCCCATGATTGCTGCCAGTGTCGTCTCTCCTAAACCCCCTTGTGTTTAAAGTAGTATTTGCTATTTTTCTGTAGATGCTTATTCGTGTACTTGTCTCTGGACAGAATATAAGCTTCTTGAGGTCATAGACTGTTTTTGTCTTTGTACCCCTAGCACCTAGTACATACTGGACCAAGAGCTCTGTGGATAAATTTCAAGGGATCTGTGGGCCAGAATGGAAAGTCATTTTCCATGACTACATCTTTAAGTAGCTGGCTTGGCTCTGGGAAAGTAAGTGAGTCAGAGGGTACTTGCTACATGTTCACTAGACCACTAATGAACTGTAGCATTACCTTCAATGATTTACAAGCATGACTCTGAGAAATGATCCTTAGAGGACCTTCAGTAGACCTACTAAATCAAAGGGGCCCAGGACACAGGAAAGTGAAGAATCTCTGGGCTAGACCTTCATAAAAGATTGTCAGTTGGTTGACTGACTGATTGATCTGTGTTTGGGTGATGGCACCAGGGCTTGGGGAGGCTTTAGAAACAGACACATACATAGCATACTAAGAGGAGAGGGGAAAGGAGGGGGGGGTGTTGAAGGCATGCATCCAGTTTCCCTGGAAAAAAAGAAGGTCATCCCATAAGGAAGCAGCATGGTTATTTCTAGCTATTTGTTATTCTAATAGAGGCAGAGAACATTAGAGCTGGAATAGCAAGACCCTAGAGAGAAACTTGCCCAGCCATCATTTTACAGGTGGTGAAACCGAAGCCCAGAAAAGGAAAGTGACTTGCCCAATGTCACACTGTGAGTCAGAGATAGGGCCAGGATTCAAGTATAGGGTTCTTGATTCTGATTCTAGTACTTTTCCAGTCTGATGCTATGTTGGGGTCTTAAAGTGAGTCTTAAAGACCCATTATTTAGAATTATTTTTGAGGAAATAGGTTGTTCCCCCTCCGAAGAGAGCCCATCTTTGTAGTTAAGGTGGAAATGTTTAGTGAAATACAATTCAATATGCACATTTTGGATACATAGATTTTTCTGGTATATAATGGGCTACGTGAGGTTAAGATGCCTTGGTATAGGATGAGGAAGAAGCCCGATGTACTGGAAGGTATGTGGGACGTGGAGTCTGGAGATGTGGTTTTGAATTCTGGCCTTGCCTTTAACTTTACCTGCAGGGTTATTGTGAGGATCAGATGAAAGAGGACATATAAAGGGCTTGGCAAGCCTCAAAGCACTGCAGAAATGCTAGCTATGAGGACTGATGATGATGATGGGGATGAACAAGTCACCTCCCTTCTCTAAGCCTCAGTTTCCCTCGTATGTTAAAGGAAGGGGTCTGGAGTTGATGATCTCCAAGGGCTCTTTCTAGCCCCAACACTCAATAAAGTAGTATTTCTTCCCATTTTGTAGTTTGACAAACTGAGGCTCAAAGTGACCTACCCAAGGTCACACAAAGAATCAAGAGTGCAGTTGAGATGAACAGTCAGCTGGGAAGTGTAACTAACATGCTTCTCCTTCCATGTTTCACCATTTCCTTGAGTTTAGAAGATAGGGCTCTCAGTAGGAAACAAAGTTAGTTATTGTTCATGTGAAAAAAGGTCTTTTCCATTCCCTTTGAGAAGTCTTGTGGCTCTAAGGCCACATCAAAGATCAAATGGTTGTCTGAGGCTAGGAGATCTGGATCAATGAAGACCAAGGCAAATGCGTCTCTCAATTTGGGAGTACCCCAGCTTTTCAAATTCCAATAGGGGATTCTGTATTCTCTGGGCACAAGTGGAAGCAGAGGCATCTCTAGAATATCACTTTCTTAAAAATATGGACCAGATAGGCTAAAGACAAGGAAACATGCACCAGGTTGACAAATATTTGATTCCTCTCTGGAATTTTATTTTCTGCTTTCAAGGCTCTGATTCAGAAGAGTTTTTAGCGAAATGTTTCTTAAAGTAAATACCATTGCCAGCTCGTCTCAGATTGCCTTTCATTCCAAGGTACACTCATTTCTAAATACCCTATAGCAAAGTCATCTTCAGGTGGCATGAGGGACCACATTCATTTCATGTCCACTTGGCCTGCGGGTCAGGGAGTAGGAGAAGGCTGGCCATCCTACCTCCTTGGATCTCTAGTCTCCCTAGACCCGAAGTGCCTAAGTGGCTCGGTAACTCAGAACCAAGGCAGGCCTAGCATATCAGCCTTGGCCAGTGTCTGGTGCCATCTAATTGTTTCCCCCTTTCCTCTCCACTTCCATTCACAATTAAAGAGGCAGTGCTGATGTGGTGGGCAAAGAGCATTGGAACGGAGTCATTTGCTATAAGATGTGTCAAGGGACATTACATGATAGTTTTCAAAATAAATTAAAACTATGGATGATGACCTAAGAAAACTGTTCAAAATCATTAATGATCATAGAAATGCAAATCAAAACAAACCTGTGGTAGGGACCACCTCAAATCCATTAAGTTAGCAAAGGTGCTAAAAAATGGAAGAACTCATTAATGGAGAGGCTGTGAGAAGAGAGGCATGCTAATTCAGTGTCGGTGGAAGCATGAATTGGTTCAAGCATTCTGGAAAACAATTTGGAATTATCCAAGAAAAGTAAGTACTGGGACTGTATATCCCAAGGAAGTCCTCCCGCTCATTTTCCTTCCCCCACTAGAATCTCGGACTCTGTCCTGGGGACAGCAGAATCTTTTGCCTTTTATTGTCTAGAACCAGGACTTCATGCAACTTCCTGGACATCTCTATACAATACCTCTTTTCCCCTCCATCATTTTCCAGCACGCTGTCATGTGTTGTCTTTCCTCATTAGAATGTAAGCACCTTGAGGGCAGAGACTATCTTGCTTGCTTATATTTATATCCTTAACACTTAGAACAGTGCCTGGTATATAGTTCAGTTCTTAATAAATGCTCCATCCATCCATCCAAGAAAAGTAAGTAAATATACCTCTTGACTCAGATTCTGCTACCAGGACTACATCCCAAGGAGGTTATTGATAATAAAAAAGACCCACAAGTCTAAAAGGCTCATAGCAGCATAATTTGTGATAATAAAAAACTCAAAACAAAATACATGCTCATTAGTTGGGGAATGGCTGGATAACTGAACAAACACCACATAAACTGAGAATTTAACATTGTTGCACCATGAAGAATGAAAAATGTGAAGAATTCAGGAAAGTGCTGCAAGATTTACAAGAAGCGATGCAGAGGGAGGTAGCCAAGCCCCTTCTCCCCCATTGCCACAATGATCTCAACTACAGAAAGGCCAACGAGGAGTCATCAAATCCAGTGCTCAACTGAGTAGCCTAATATTGAGTAGCTAAGGGACAGATAGCCCTCCTTTCTGTTAAGAACTGATCATCTGCTTTTGGTGGTGGGATATGCTTTGTAAATGGGTTTGTTTGAATGTTTGCTGGGAAATTATTTTGTTTCTTTTTTCCTTAAATAAAGAACATAGGATTTGGATCAAAAGGCCTGTGTTTATTCAAATCCCAATTCCATGCTTACTAGATGTGTGATTGTGGTAAGTCAGTTCCCTGATCTAGTCTCAGTTTTCCTTATCTGTATAACGGTTATAGTATGACCTGCCTTTAGGTAGTTCAAAGAGTTGTTGTGAGGGGCCAGTGGGAGAATGGATACCAAATAATCTGTAAGACTTAAGACACTCAAACCATGTGAGTGAGCTAATTTGGATTTAAAGGGCTAACTACTGATGGCTTTCTTAATGGCTGGAGATTGTTTGATCCAAAGTCCTCATATTATAGCTGAACTAAGGCTCAGAAAAGGAAAATTATTTGTCCGTGCATTCAGGAATTCAATTAAACAAGCATTCATATTAAACACCTATTGTGTGCAAGTCACTGTCCTAGGTGCTAATGATACAAAGACAAAAAGAAAAAAAAACCAGTCTCCTAGGGAGCTAACGTTCTAGTTAGTGTCCCAGACAGGAATAGAGCTAAAGATTCCTGATTACCTATACAGCTGTTAATCCAAAGGAATGAATCTCTAACAGTTGACGATCAGGCACTATGACAAGCTAGGTTTGGGCTAGAATGGTTTCTTAGTTCCTCAAGTCGCACCAGTAATAGCTGTGCCACCAATTGGTTATTACTGGTGAACTGTGGAGAGGACACAGAGGAGAATAACATGGCATGGGCAGTCTGGCAGTCTGTGATCTGTATCATTAGCAAGAACTTCCAAATTGATGAGACCCCAGATCACTCAATCATACTGATAATCACGCTACAGAATAACATCCTATCTGAGCACAGCTGGCCAGCACATACCATATTCAAGTTGGCACAGGCCCAGAGAGGTTAAGCCAATTTGTCTAGGGTTGGACATCTAGTAAATGCTGGAAGAAGGATTTGAACCCAGGACCTTCTGACTGCAAGTTCAATGACCTTTCTACTATATCCTATGGGCTGCCACTGCCAGGCTCTGCTGATGAAATCCAAACACCTGATTTTCCAGTTTCGTTTGGAACGCTGTTGATGCTCTACAGCTCCTGGACTTCATAATGCATGGTATAACTAAGTCACTGCTGCTACAAATGCCTGGAAGAATGTTTCCTTCAGAACATCATGATGTATGCACTTCATGGTTAGGAAATGAGAACATCCTCACTGTTCTGCTGTCAGTGGACCATGAAGAAAATTGCCACACAGTGATCAAACTGAATGTCAATTTGACTCATTGTAACAAACACTCTACTCTGATGCAATGAAACCAATTACAGTGAAAATAAACACTTTTTTCCTTCTAGGTTCTAGTTCTAGTCTTGGCTGTCCAGAAGTTATATTGTATGACCTTGAGTAAGTCACTCACCCACTCGCCTTTGTTTCTTCCACAGTAAAATTAGGGCCCCGATGGGTCAGACTCCACTGAACCATGGAGTCCTGTGACCCCCTCACCTTGGTTTGTTGGCTTCAACAGGTTGCTGGTTACCAGGGCCCTTATAGCTCTGAGTGCTACTGATGTATCGGTCGCCATAGCTGAGGGTAGATCTGCATGGGAAAAGAAACACACTTGAGCCCTTTCAGAAGGACTTGGGTGCAGCTGAAGGACTGCTGAGGCCCATGCTGAAGAACCAGAATGTGTGGGTTCTGTCAGCAGCGTCCACTTAGGCCTGTGGTAGAATCTGCCACACAGTCCGTGGTCCACTGTGGAAGGGTGGAAGCAGACCAACTGAAGGGCCGATGGATTTCTACTGCTTTTGGTAAAAGGCCTTTGCAAAATGTTCCAACGGCTCTCCTCGGGCTAAATCTGTTCTTCCAGCTACCTTCCTGTGCCTGGACTGTTTCATCCATCTGCCCCATTTCCTCTGCTATGAATGCTACTATATACTAAGGCCAGCACTCACCAGGGAGAGGCTGAGCTCTGGAGCCACTTACTTTTTCTTAGAGGTAATCTCTATTTCATCCAGATCATTCTGTGAACCACTGGAGCCATGATTACTGTCAGTTGACCAGGTACTTGACCTGTCAGAAGAAAAGACCCATTAGAAGCCTCAGGACTCTGCCTCTGGTCTCCCCTAACCACAAGTACCCACTGTTAAGACATTAAGCAAGAGAAGTTAGAGATTGAGTTCCTTGTGGTAATACTCACGGGTGTCTGAATTTCCCCATCTGGAAAGTAGGGATCATTCCATACCCAAACTCCAATTCATGTTTGAAATGTCTGACTCAGCTAAATACAAACATAGTGGGGGTAGACAGCATCTGGCCACATGGAAACTGCAAAGCCAGATTTAGGCTCCATATCAAGACAAATTCCTAGCAATTAGAGCTTTCCAAAAGTGGAATGCATGGCCTGGGGAGGTAGTGAGCTCCCCCTCACTGGTGAGGGAAGTCAGAGGGTCTTCAAGCAGAGGTTGGAAACCATTTGTTAGGGCTGTAGAGAGGATTGTCAGGAATGAGCTGGATAACATCCTGGGATTCTAGGGGAGTAAGTCATGGGATTCTTGCCAATAATTGGGCAATTTGAAATATGATTTGATTGCAAGGCATTTCCCTCCTGCAGGCCCTGGCTTCTCCATCTGTCAAATGAGGGAGCTGGACAAGATTATGTCTAATGCTGGTCTTGGCCAGCTCTGCAATGCTCAGGTTCTCTCACTCCCAAGGTACAGTTTTATCAAGTGTCATGGGCTAGAGTGGTACCAACCCAATATTTATTATACACCAAGTGCCAGGCACTAGGCAACAAGGATGAAAGCAAAACAATTCCTGCCTTCAAGTGGCTTGCATTCTATTGCGGGGGGGGGGAGACAGCATGGACACAGATACCAAATTGGTGCGAGGTGATGTGGGGAAGAAGGTACCAGCACTTGGGTATGGCAGGAGAAGCTTCCCATAGAAGGCAGTATTTAAGCCAAATGCTCTTGGAAGAGACTAAGGATTCTAAGAGGTAGTGGTGAGGAGAGAGTTCATTCCAGGCAAGAGGGATAGACAGCCAGTGCAAAAAAAAACCCAATAAAAATGCAACAAAAATAGAAAAACAGGAAATGGAGTGCCACGAATTAGGAACAGCAAGAAGGCCTGTGGGAATGTGCTGTAATGTGTGCGAAGGTAAATAATGATTAATAAGGACAAGAAGGTAGGTTGTGGCCAGATTCTGAAGGGCTTTAAATGCAAAAAAGAGTTCATATTTGCCCCAGTGGTAATAAGGAGCCAGTGGAATTTCTTGAGTAAGGGAGTGACAAAGAGCTGAGCCTTAGGAAAATCACCTTGGCTGCTATGTGGTGGACAAATTGAAGTAGAAAGACATTTGAGGCAGGGAGACCACTTAGAAGGCAACCGCAGCAGTCCAGGCAAGAGATGAAAGCCTTAACTGGGGTGGTGGCAGGAGATACGTGAGAGATGCTCTGCAGCTGGAAATGGAAGCTTTGGCAACTGACTGGACATGAGGGGTGAGGGAGAGTGGAGTCAAAGGTGACGTCCACGTTGTAGGCTTGGGTGACAGGGAAGATTGTGGCGCCCTTGACGGTGACTGGGGAGAGTTTTGGGGGAAAGGTAATGAGTTGTCTTTTGGATAGGTTGAGTTTGAGAAGCCTGCAGACTGCCCGGTTGAAAATATCCACTAGGCAATTGGTGATGCAAGACTGGAGGTCAGGAAAGAAGTTAGAGCTGGATAAAGAGAATCATCTGCTTTGAGATGATAACGAAACTCATGGGAACTGATGAGGTTACCAAGTGAGAAAGAGTAGACAGAGGAAGACGAGGAACCAGAGCAGAGCCTTGGGGAATACCCAGAGTGAGGGACTGGATACAGATGCTGAGCCAGTCAGGAAGCCCAAGAAGGTGAACACTCATTTCTCCAATGAACCCCAATGTGCCATTGAAGCCCAACTCTCAATGGACAGTTTCCTTCACTTCTGTAAGGAATGGGGCAGGAGCACCCAGAGGCTAGCTTGGAGCAAGGGGCATGGTGTGGAGGAGCCCTGAAGCTGCGTACAAATTCAGGGTAACTTAGAAGAGTCCGGGGATGCCCCCCTAGGCCTTGGTACCTGTTGACATCAGGATACAGGTCTTTCTCTTCTTCTTCTCTGGGAATGTCCTCTCTAGTGCTGGAAATGTTTCTTTCCTTATACGCCAAGAAAGCTCTAGAGAGGAGACAATTGGCTTTCTTTAAGGAAAGAGGCTGCTACTATCCCATGGACAATGAGCCTTCTCCAAGGAACTCAAAAACTCCTCTGAGATTTGTTTAAAGCCTTCGTTTTTAGGTGCTAGTCATCTCCTTCTACTGCCTCCCACCCCCGTGTGAGAGTGTACTTGCACACATGCACAGCCCTGGGCATGTGACAAACAGCACCACTGAAGTTTCAGAAGCAGAGGACACAGCTTCTGGTGGCATATGCCTCGTTCCACACCTGCAATGTGTTTACCACAGATCTTTTCAAATAAGTCTCAATGATCCTCACAGAAAAGAGTCTGCTCTGTCAGAGGGGCATAGATACCATGTAAGAAAACATCAGGGCCCACCCATCCATTTTACATGGAAAGAAACCAAGGTCCAAAAAAGGTGACTTGCCCAAGTCACATAGCCAGTGAGTGGCAGAGCTGGGAGTAGAACCTTGGTTTCCTGACTCCCAGTCCAGGGCCTTTTCTACTCCACCTCAATTGCCTTCTAGGAAAAAAATGGCTAATGTACTTGAAAGTGATGACTTCATTGAGAATCTCCCAGGAGGAACCACCATTACCTTTAGCCAGGGAGTCTGACCTGCTAAAGGAACATAATTCTGTGCTGCTAGGTCTCTCTCACCACCCTTGGGGCAGAGGGACTATAAGAGAAACATACACCAAGACCTGGATGGATTTAACTGTCTCTTTTCCTGATAAAACACTCCCCATTCCCCCATATGCACCAGCGCACACTCATGTGTGTGTCCCCACAAGGCAAGGAAGGGCAATGGTTAGCAGCAAAATGGCAGAAATGCAGGATGCATGTTAGGGGACAGAGATGAGCCCCTGCTGGGCTCTCTGGTTCCTTTATGACTGCCAGCTCACATCCTCCGTCCAATCACCACCAATTTACCTCTTCCCACTGGTGTCTGGGGAAAAGTCACGAAGAGTGTATTCCAGTTTGGGGTCATGGCGCACTAGAGTGTGAGTTTCTTCTTTCTTTCCACTAAGGAAGGAAAAAGAAAGTGTGATTTAATTCCCCTTCATTCTACCACAAATTATGAATCACCGAGGACCACAAAACATAGATTCAGAACTGCAAGGGACCTCAGAGGTCACAAAGGACCCATAAAGTTCTAAGGAGATAAAAGACTTGCCCAAGACCATACAGGAAGAGTCAGAGCTAGGATTCATACCCAGGTCTTTGGCCTCTAAATCCATTGCACCCATGTGTATTTCCATTCTGCTTTGGGGTTAGATGAAAACATAGTACAGGGCAAAAGCATGGGTCCAGAATCAGAGGACTTGGGTTCATATACTGCCTCTGATTCTTCTATCGCTTGTGTAGCTTTGGGAAAGTTGCTTCATAACCCTAAGCCCCATTCCTCCTCTGGACTAGATGATCTCCTCAGTTTCTTCCAGCTCTCTGGATCTCTGATCCCTGAATTTCTAGTTATTCTTGACTTGTTCCACACCTACCCCATGTCAAGGATAGCTTTGGTCAATCAACTCTATTTTTTCCAGACTAGCTTTTCAAAAATGTTCCTTCTCAAGTGTGGGCCCGAGTGGTTGCTCTGATCAGAGCTGCCATTAAGGCAGTAGAAAATCCAGTTGCCTCTCTATTTCTCTTCCTGTGAAAACCACTCATCAGTAAAGGGAGTGCTAGGTCTGAAGTCAGAGGAGCCTGGGTTCAAATCATGGTGCTGCCTGGTTTAGCTCCATGACCTTGATTAAGTCACTTCCCTTCTCTAAGCCTCAGTTTCCTCATCTGTAAAATGGGGATAAGAATATCTATACTACAAACCTTCTGGAATTGTTCTGAGGAAAGGGCTTTGTAAATTCTTAAGTGAGAGTCATTTCTGTTTATTCTCATTGGCCCTTCTCATATTGTAGTTCTACTGTCTTTTTAAAAAAAAAAAGGATAATAATGATGGTAATCAGAACCACTCCCCCCCCAAAGCTACTCCAATTACTCCTTTGTTTTATAGGCACACTTCACTCTATACAATCAATTTGTTGTGGAGATTTGTGCATTAGTCAGATTTTTGTAAAATGAATCATAGCTCCTCAGTAATATTGGTTATCATTACAGAAGAAATAGAAAAAAACAATGGGAAACCTTTGAGAGGCATATCTTTACCAGCAGATACCTTTCCAATAAAACAGTAGTAATGATAAGACTAAGAAGTCAAGGGGACAGCTAGGTGGCGCTGCAGTGGATAGAGCACCGGCCCTGAAGTCAGGAGAACCTGAGTACAAATCTGGCCTCAGACATTTGACACTTACTAGCTGTGTGACCCTGGGTAAGTCACTGAACCCCAATTGCCTAAAAATTTAAAAAAAAGTCAAACATTGTACTGTAACTACTGCATAGGGCCAGAGGTATCCAGCATCTGCAATCACTAAGGAGATTGGGGGAACTTTCAAGAGCCCTCATCCTCCCGGAGAACAGTCAGCACTGTTTTCCCCTAGACACATGGCCACATGACTGTTCTGAATGACTCAACTTCCCAGTTTCTGAGAGCAGACTGCCTGGAGGTGGCATTTGGAAGCATCCCTACAATGAGGATTCCCTGTATTTTCCTGGTGGTGAAGATTCTCGGGACTTGGGTGGGGGAGGAGAGTGTCAGCCAGAGAAAGAATGCACCTGCCCAATCTTTGATCACAAACAACCAGTTCTTTCTAGGAGCTCCCAATAGATTGGCAGGTGGGTCCCCCAGCCATCTGTGGCTCGTTTGAAATGGGAGCCTCTTGTCCCCTCTCTGGCTTAGGTCCCCATCATGTTTTCGAAGGGACCCTGACAAGATGGAGGACCTCCAGAGGAGGTTAACAAGGATGGGGAGGGGACCAGAAGACCAGTTGTAGGAGATCTTGTTGAAGGGTTAGAGGATGGTTAACTTGGAGAGGGGAAAATCTCAGAAGGACATGAGAGTTTTCTTCAAACTTTCCACTTGGCCTCAGGAAGGCAGAATTAGAATGAACTGGTGGAAGTTCCAGGGTAATGAATTTCAGCTCAACATAGGGTACGGCTGCTTGGCCATTAGAATTGTTCTCCAAAGGAGCAGGCTGTTTTATAGAGTGGTAATATGCCCATCCCTGTGATTATTTTAACAGAGGTTGAATGACCACTTATTAAGGATGTAGTAGAAGAGATTTCGGCATTAGGAAGCTGGACTAAATCACTTCAAAGGTCCCACAGAACTCTGAGATTCTATGATGCTCAAAACCCCACCCCCCTTTTCAGAATCACTACCAAGATGGCCTAAACCTTAGAAGTAGGCAGGTAGAAGGGAAGAATGAGCCTTTCTCAAGATGGAGGCAACACAGACATTGACTTGGGAGTCAGAAAGCATGATTCCAGTCCTGGCTTGGCCCCCAACTAGCTATGTGGTCTTAAATAGCCATTACCCTTCTCTGGGTATCAGTTTTTTACTCTATCGTATAATGTAGGCCTGCCTCCAGCTCAGCCACTTCTACCTCCTATTATCTGAGTCTAGAGACAGTATTCTATCTCTATGGCAACAGCTCAACAGTAGCTGCTGGGACTTATCAGGCGACCACAGCTCAATGAAAACATCTATTGAGCCCACCCGACTCCCTCTGCTCTGATTCTTTCCTTGTCACGTAGCCGCCAGGTTTCAATGTGGCTTCCCTGCTGGGGTGAGAACAGGCTGGCCACCCAACAAGAACATCTTGGTCTGCTTGGCAATTACGCTTATTTTTGGAAATGAATAAATTGGCTTTCTGGACCACAGCAGCCATATCTGAGTCATTTCCCCAGAGCCTCATCCTTAGTGGGGGAGCTCAGGAAATTAAGTCTCTCTGCCTATCATGCTGAGGGGCCAGCCTCTGCACTAAAGATGAACTTACCAGGGGTCCAACAAACCTGGTTAAGTTTTCCTCACCACTATCACCCCTTTGTGGGCCTCTCCTATCTTGTTCCCCTTCTTGGTTTTTTCTTTTTTTCTACATGAGGGTGGGTGAGGGTAAAGGAACATATCTGTGTATATGTATGTGGGTAGATGAAGGGAGGGGGCTGTTAGGACAACATATGGGACTGTGAGTACATAAGGGTGTATGTGTGTACAAGGGGGGTTGGGGAGGCTCAGAAGAGCCACAGGAATGAGGGGAATAGGAGAAATATGCCATATGTAAATGTACGGCTGTTTAAGCATGTGGAGGCAACACACGGCTAGAGAATTAAAGGGGAAGGGAGAGCGATTACTATTGCTGGTAGATGTAAGTCAACCACTGTTTAGGTGTGGCAATAGTAAGTGACCCTAGTAAGCCTTTATTATATAGGAGGGAAGCAGCTATGTGGGGAAGACGGACTTCCCTTTTTTAAGTGTTTTGGTTGTACTTGACCAGTGAGCTGACCTTCTGGGAAGGCAGTGGGACAATTGTGGTGCTTCTGGCTTTCCCCTACCCCTACTCCTCCTAGACACCTTGTGTGCTATGATTGTGTTTGTTACCCAAAGGTAGGATCAGCTCACCACAAGGATGAATCTGCAATGACATGGTAGCTTAGATTCAGTCTAGCTTCGTATCTCCAGAGGGGATCAATGGAAGATCCTGGCCTGGTCCCCTAGGGTCCTATTTGGGGACCTCTGGTGTTACAGTTCCACCAGCATAGGTGTGTATAAACCTTCACCTTTCCCCTGGAACCCTGGAGTGTAAGCTATCAACTATCCAGAGGCTTAGGAAATAGCTGTGTGAATGGTAGATTGTACCTTCTAGGTTGGGGCCCCGGCAAGGGTGGTCTACTTATATGAGAGTGACTGTCCTTGCAGTGCCACTCACTGTGCAAGTGGGCAGTAGTCCCCCTCCCCTAAGCCACCTACAGTCCCACTACCTGGCCTTAAATGGATTTCATGGCCAACACTGAAACCATGGCCTCTCTTTTTTGACAGATTAAGTACAGGTGGTCCTTAGAAGGGGCCCCTTGGGAATGGATGGCTCCTCTCATGGAGGATGGAAGCCACCCAATGGGGAGCTTACAGAAGTATAAGGTAGGCTCCTGGATGGTTTGAGGTTAGCCCTATCACAGCAGAAGGGAGATCACTGCATGAAATCATGAATAGTGTGGTATTAACCTATAACACTGACCTAGTATTGGCAGGGGAGATGGACCATCTAGGTCAGGCCCTTCATAGATAGCATCTGAGCAGGAATAGCTTGGCCAGAACAGCCTAACCTTAATCAGAGCTCAGGTCAGCCTTGAAATTGGGCCACAGAGGTGAGCTGGAACCTCAAGTCAAGGGAACCTGGAGCCAGCAGCCAGTGAATAGCCTCCTGTATGAGAACGTGGATGGCCAGGAAACCTGGGGGTGGGGTGGGGGAAGAGCTCCTGGCGGCCAAGCCTTTTAAGCCTAAGTATCTGGCCTGGGTTAAGAGGCTCAGGACAAGAAGGTACAATTTGGTCCTCTGACCCCCACCCTTGGCAGAACCTGCAAGGGACAAGGAGGAATAATGAGGGGGCTCAGAGTGGCCATGGGCATCAATCAGAGGACAGAGACCAAGATGTGTAGGAGGGTACAGGAAGTCCTGGATGCAGGAGCATACCTATGACACCATGTCCTGCTCTCAAAGTTCGTGACCCTGGGGACAGTCGGCAGCCTACAATAAAACTGTATTTGTAGCCATACTGTACTGGACATGCTTCGTCTTCTCTGATCCCTACAATCACTCTGGGAGGGAGAGGGAGGTACTATGGGCATTACTGCTCTCAGTTTAGACGCAGAGAAACAGAACGGTGCCTTTATCTGCACTCTTGAACTCTGGCAGATAAAAACAAACTCCTGGATGTATTTCCAGCCCAAGCTGAGTGGCCTGCTCTCTCTCTGCTAGAATCAGAACTGAGAGAGAGAGAGAGAGAGTGAGAGAGAGCAGAATCAGACCCCCTTAACAAGCCCACATGCATATGCTGCTGGAGCTGGGGCTGTTAGGAGCCTGGCTGGCCCCTAAACCATTGGGAGGTGGAGAGAAGGGCCCAGACGTCAGGAGTGGGAAGAGACAAAGAAGCCCCTCTAGAGAACTGGAAACAGCTCTGCAAGGAAGGGCCGCGAGAGAGGGGAAAGTCTTTTTGAAAATTATTTTTCATTTCAATTTTTCTTTTTCATTATGAATTTAGCAAATACCAACAAACACCAACATTTCAACGTACAAGAACAAATGAAGAGAAATGCATAAGCTGTAAACTTCTCTTGTGTGCAGATTTTCTTTAAGTGTACAATAAAGTTAATGCAATGGTAGCAAAACTGCCAGAGAAGGTGGAAGGTTCAAGAAGCATTTAGTAAAGCCTCTTCTCTTAGGTGGGTATGGAGGTGAAAGAGGAGGCTCATCTGCTCTCAGATCTTAGAATGCATCAGGGGAGAGGAGGCTGGGCTTGGAGATAGAGGACCTGGGAGCAAATCCAAGAGCTTCCTAGCTGGATGGCCCTGAACAAGGCACCTAACCTCTCGAGGTTTCAGTGTCCTCATCTGCAAATGAGAGGATGGGCAAGACACAGCTCTGAAGCCATGAACACACATTCCCCACCCCAGCCTTGTGATTTCACAGGTGTAGGAAGCACCCATGGAGGGCACCCACTCTACCAAAGCAGGTCTGCACTTTACAACTTCTCGTCTTTGAGAGCCACCTGGATCACTGTGAAGTGACATGCCTTGGGCAGGGGCCGCTAGAACGTGGCAGGCAAGGATGGGCTTTGTGCCTTGGATTTTCAGACTCCAAAGCCTGATCTCTATCCCCCAGGCCATGCTACCTCTCATAAACTAGATGACAGGTGCAAGAAAATGATTCAGTGCATAGGAGAGGTCAGCCAGAAGGGCCTGAATGTTGAGGGTCTCCTGAAGTGTTCCCCTCTCCCCTGCCATGCTCTATTCTGGAGGGTAGAAAACTAAGGCTGCTGGCTCAGCAAGAGATGGAAGGACAGCCCTCTTAAGTCCATTGCTCTTACGGAAACTGAGGCTGTCAGGGGAGGTCAGGGCAAATGGGAAACAACTACCTGGTGAAGCCGAAAATCTGTCTTGCCAAAGATGGCAGGGTCTGAATCCTCTCAGGAGGGACTTCACCCTCCTCGACTTCAACCCTTTCAGGCAGTAATGCAAAGATACTCTCAGTAAGAGATACAAGGGGTCACTGTGCCAGACGCCTCCCTCATTTACTCAGCCTCTTCTCTTTTACAGCAGAAGACCAAGCCAAAAGCAGCTTCACATTCCATTCTGGGCTCTCAGAAGGCGCCGTCTTCCTTCTTAGCATACTCCCCTTGGACGGGAAAGAGGCTGTTCCGAGCTCCCCGTGCTGGACAGCTCCGTGCGTGTTCCTCTAGGAACCCAAGGCTTAGTGATTCAGTCCCAGGGGCCAAAAGGGAGAGGGGCTCACTCACAGCCATCGCCCCCCCCCCCCCCCCCCCCAGGGCTATAGCTGAAGGCGTTCTCTTTCAACCATCTACTTCAAGACTGCTCCCAGCCCGTGGAAGTGACTTTCTAGCCTCTCCTCCACCAATACAAGAGGCTTGCCTGTTTGGTGCAGAAAACCCCAAAGCTAGCTCTCATTTCCTTTAAGGTTTTGTAAAGCCCTTTATAAACATTATTCAATCAGTCAGTAAGCATTTATGAAATCCTTACTGTGTGCTTATTCCCCTAAGGTAGGTGCTATTATGAGCTCCATTTTAAAGGGCAGGAAACCGAGGCTCAGAGAGGAGGGTCACAAAGACTGACCAGAGTCTGAGGCAAGCTTCCTGACTCCAAGGCCAGAGGTTTATTTACCACAACACCCTTCCTTCCCAGGAGAAAAAAGATATTTTCTGAAAAGGCAAAATGTTTGATAATTCCTTCATTCAAGTACCTGTGAATCTTTGGTCAAAAGAAATAGCACCTCCACTTTTTTCCATGGGCAGGGGAGCTTAGGGCACACTTTTTTCCGTGGACAAAAGTGAAGGGAACCCAGATCTGTTTGTGACTTTCAGCACTACAGGCTTAGCCTGTCTGCGATAAGGGATCTAGGCCTGCCTCCTGAGGCTCTCCCAGGCTGGCAGTGAAACCACCCAAGCAGCAGCTCCCACTCTCCTGGGCCCTCTCTGCTTCAGGAGAGTCCAAGGCCTTCTCCTCTCCTGGCCCACCCCACCAGTAGGGGAGGAGAACCCAGGCACAGAACTGCTCTAGAGTCTTACCTCTTTGCCATAAAAGGAGGTGCTAAGTCCTGAGTGGAACTCCTGGAAGGTGGACAGAAAGACACCACCCGAGCCGCCGGCCTGTAGGATAGAATAAATAAAATAAAGGATGTGACACAAGACTTACACATTCAGTGTCAGATCAAATTCAAATGCTTTATAACTGTGCTCCCTTTAAGCCACCTCCATCCCACCTCCCAGTCTCCACCCCCTAGCCCCTTTCTTTCCTCCCCCCCTCCTGCCCCAGCCCAAGGCATATAGCCCACACCTCCCTCTCCCCCCTCCTCCTGAGACATGCACTCACTGTGAGCTCTTCTTGGCAGCAGATAGCACATAGGAGTGCTCCCAGGTGGCAGACCTCTGAAACAGGTGGCAGGAAGCTTCGGCTCTAGAAGGGCTGGGAATGAGAAGGGAAGAGCCAGAATGGAGATCAAAGGCCAGTGCTCTGACCGTATCTCCCTCCCCCCATACACTCTCCCATGGGGACACATGGCAAGTTCTGCCAACCTGCCCACCTGGCTTCTGGCTGAAGTCTGTTTGACTTTCTGGCAGTTTAGGGTACTGAGTGACTTGTATGAAACAGACGCGGGTCCTGATACGCAACTGAGCCCACCTCTGTTTCAATCAGGCAAGCAGAAAGAAGGGGTCCCTCACCATTATAACTTGTTAAGAGTTCAGTTCTTCCAGAGGGAGAACAGTGGGGGCTATCTCCACAACTCGAGTTCAAACAGGCCTTTCAGGATCACCTCTGCCCTTCCAACCATCACCATGCTGGGCAGGGAGTACAGAGGTTGTTACAGACAAGGAAATTGAAGCTAAGAGAAGTGAGATGACTGGCCTCTGACCAACACAACAACCACCACCTGGGCTCTACACTCCCAATCCAGAAATTCTTTTCCACCACACTGAGTTACCTCTTAATCACATTCATGTCTGAATAAAATCAGCTTCATTAGCTGGGAAATTGTTTAGGGGAATGGGAAATGAGAAAGGAGAATAAGAGAGCCTGTATAGAGGACCCAGATCTTCCCTTTCCATCACCTCTCTCATGTTTATACACTAGTGATACAATGGGTGGGGTGAACCTCACCAGATTTGAAGTCAGAAGACCTGAGGTTAAATCTCATTCTTCCCTTTTGCTTTGGACAATTGCTCCCCAAACCTGTTTCTTCATCTGTAAAATGAGGGGGGGTCAGACTAGATGATTTACAAGCCCTAAATCTAAGTTTCTGGGAGATCTGACAAGTTTTTTTAACTGGACTGTGATTTCATTAGCATAGGGTACTCTTAGTGAGTAAACAGCCTCTCCCAATGCAGGCTGGCACCTACTGGGCACTTTCCAGACTTGAAGTGTTTGCCTCTTGGATACCATTGACGTTTGAGATTCCCTAGAATGGATCCTGCCTGCATACAACAGGGGCTTCTTCTAATTCACTTTATACCAAGTATACGGACATGGTAGGGGATCAGATCAAGGACATCATAAGAATCTCAGCCCTCTCAATGAAGTCAAGCAGGTCCTGTAGCTAACTAGAGGTGGAACATTCAGAAGACAGCAGGCAATAATGGAAACTGAGAGCTTGGGGGGGGGTTGGCATAACAGCCAGTCCTCCTAGTTTTACACAAGAGCAAGGTGAGGCCCGGTGGGGGTGGGGGGGAGGGAGTGACTTGCCCAGGGTCACATAGATAAGTAGGTAGGAGTGCTGTGATACAAAGCTGAGCTTCTCAGGTGTCACCCTCAGTATCCCAAGTCCACCATACCATCTGCCACCTGGCTAAGGAAAATCTCACCCTGCCCATCCCAAGATGGGGCACTAGGAGGCATGATGCCCAATGGTGCTAAAGTGGAATTTCCTGGGCCCCTCCTCCAACCTTTCTAGCTATTGTACCTTCTTTGCTGCTCATCAACAGGAAAAGTTAAGGCACTATCATCCCCTTCCATGGGGATGTGTATGATATTGCAGGGCACTCTAAATGAGAAGAAAAAAGCTGTTTCGGATGGTAGTCTACTCTCTGAATTCCAAACTGCTCTGCCTGGTATTCAAAGCCTTCTGGAAACTATACCTTGCCTTACAGAACCAGATTTATTTGACCTACTCATAAACTGATCATAGATAAAGATGATGATGATGATAGCTAACATTTATAAAGTGCTTACCATGTGCCAGGCACTGTGCTTTACAATTATTATCTCATTTGATTCTCACAACAACCTTGTGAGAGAGGTTATACCCTTTTTACAGATGAGAAAACTGATGTAAACAGAGGTAAGGTCAGGGATCCAAGCACGGTCCTTTGACTGAATTCAAATATCACAGAACAAATGTCCTGTGAAGTTTGGATTCAGTCAAAGGGTCTGGATTCAGTCAAAGGGTCTAGAGGGCCACATGTGGCCTCGATGCCACAGGTTCCCCCCCCGCCAATTCTATACTGTTTCAATCTACACCAAGTCAATGAGTTCTCTATCTGGAGGTGGATGGCAGTTTTCATCATGAGTCCTTAGGAGGGGTAGGAACTTTCAAGGCCCCTCAGCGACTTATGGTGAAATGGAACAAGCAAACAAGTCCAAGCAAGAATAAGGCAGCTTCATCCAGTTTCACTCTGACTTCCGCAACTCTGTCAAGTCATGTTGCTTCAACCTTGATGAGCAGTTAATGAGAGGACTGAACTAATAATAATGATAAAAATAACTAGCATTAATTAGCACTTTAAGGTCTGCAAAGTGCTTTACAAATACTGCCTCATTAGATCCTCACAATAAACCTGAGAGGTAGGTGCTATTATTATACCCATTTTACAGATGAGGAAACTAAGGCAGCCAACAGTTAAATGACTTGCCCAGGGTCACACAGCTAGTAAGAGTCTGAGGTCAGTTTTAAACTCAGGTTACTGAATCCAGGCGTAGCTAGCTGCCCAGTGATAAAGTGCTATGCAAATATCAGCCAAGTGCCATGCCCATGGAACAATTATCATCCCTGATTTACAGATGAAAAAACATAGCCCTGTAGAAGGGAAGTGACTTGCCTAAAAACACACATCTAAGTGAGTGGCAGAAACAGAATTAGAACCCAGTGCTCTGACCTCAGACACACTGGTCACCACACTTTATACCAAATGGTGACCTCTGGGGTGCCTTCTGGTGCTGGTGCACAAGAAAAAGAAAAGAGGGTCAATCCTGAAGCAGACTTACGTCTCCTTCTTGTAATCATCAGAACTGACTTTGTAGCCAGAGGCTGAGAGCTGGGGCAGGTTGGCAGTGGTAGGTTTTGCTGGAACCACAGATCTGGAAAAGAAAAGCAAACTCAGTCCACACCCCATTGCCAGCAGGCCTGTGGAGCTGTCCAGGGTCCCAAATATCTGAAAGTTTGGTTTATCAGATCCATAGATGGAACTGAGACAGTCTCTCCCTACTCACTCTTTCCTTTCAGACTCGGTCAGGCTCATGGAGGAGAGTGCTAACAACAAGGCTCTCAGCTTAGCCTTTTGCAGATGGAGGTCTTGGGGTTCCCCTGAGCCCAGGGGGTGGGGTGCAGGGTTGCTGGAATGCATATTGAAAGCTCTTTCCTGAAGACTAAGGATGAGATGACTCTCTAGACAGACCTATTTTGCAGGTAGCACTTCCTAACCATACAGTGCTATAGAAACATGAACTATCCTGCTTATGGCTCCACTGATGTGCTTCAGGGAGGATATGTGGCTCACTAGGCCGGAGCTTCAAGCTTCTGCAGGCCTGAGCAATAGAGATAAGGTAGCCTGTTTTCGGGGGACCGGCCTTAGCCATGTTTGCACAGGCTCATCACCAGGAGGATAGCTGCTAGAGGAGGAACTGGATGGGCCCCAATAACTCAGGAATCCATCAAATAAGTCATTCACATGTATTGTGGGGGGAAAGATATTAGCACCAGCGAAGGGAGTATCTACCTTCTCTGTGAAGTTTCTATGTGAAGCCCTTTGGAAATCTTAGGCTAGATATCAGCTGTTAATATAGGCATTATAAGGATGCTGTGAGGAGCCAATTAAAACAGGAACTTATAAAATGTTCAGAAGAGGATGCTGGGTACAAGGAAGGGTCCCAGACTGAGCTCCAGCATCTAGCACAGTGCTAAGCACTCACACACTAATAAATGCTTGTTGGTCAACTGACTGATTGAGCTCCTCACAGCCATAGCCAGCAATGCCACCATGTGCATCATCTTTCCTCTGACTGGATCAGTCCTGGCCAGAAGGAGGACTACCAGAACCCACACCTTCGCTGTTATAACAAGAAAGAGAGATGCCCAGCTATAGTTTTATAAGTCTCAGAGTGTCTCCAAATCTATCTCAAGCCTATGTGTGTGAAAAGGAGGGGGTGAAGAGGGAAGTTGGCTGCCTAATTCCTAAAATACAATTAATGTGACTTCACTTAAATTCATTTGTAAAGATTTACCACAGCTCAGCAGTAGTCAACTCCACCCAAGGAGCCATTGGCTGCTTCTTCTCCCTGCCCACCCCCCCAATCTATACTTAACAGTTGCTGGCTGAACTGGGAAGCACCCCTTGGCAGGGCACACAGAAGACCATGCTGGCCACGGGCAGCAAGACTACTTGTTACTCATAGTATGTGTTCTTTGATGAGGCTTCTTCTAGTGCCTCCCACCGGACCAACCTTTCGGGGGGTTCGGAAGTAGCTGAGTAGCGATTCTGTGGCAGACTTGTGCTGTCAATGGGCTTGGTGAACACGCCCCTGTATGAATCCGAGAAGGAGATATCTCATTAGTGCCCAAAATGACTTAGAGTAGGTGGCAGAAAAAATCCATTGAAGAGCACAGCTGACATGACCCTGGAGGTGGGCTGGGATAGGTTTACCAGAGAGGTGAAGCCACTCCTTACAGCGGTGGTAAGCAGGCCTGACCATGCACCAGGATTCTAGAGAGGGCATCTCTTCAAGTTTGACCAAGCTCATCTCAAACTCACTGAGAGAGACCCTTCTTTCCTATGGCATGGCATTTTGACTGGCTAGAGTCAATCTCATGGCCCCCTGGCTGTCACACTGTACCCTGGAGAGATGGCAGGTCCATCTTGGATCCCTCCATCTCAGGGGTTTTACTTACAAAAAGACACCCGCCCCAAACTCACTACCCTGGAAAGTATCTGCTGAGGCCCCAGGTCACAGCATAGTCTCTTCCTGACTGGCAACCTTGCTCCCAACTCTGGTTTTATTAGAAGTTTACTTTCTAGGCCTTGAAGGAGTCTTCTGAGGCCCTCTCAGGCAGACCATTCTGCAATGGCCTACCGCACACAAGGCCCCCAGCCAGGTTGTGAGTACTACTTTCTTCTAAAGCTCCAAATGCACTTCCTCGGGGTCAGTTATCCCAAATTTGACCCTGTTGTTTCCTTTGCCTAAAAATTCCAGGTGGGAGATAAGGAATGATCTCGCTAAGTATGCTATCAACCTCTAGGCTAGAGTCCATCACTAGCCTTGGCAAACACTCACAGCTCCATCGGTCCCCTACTGTTTCCAGTTCCCCTGCCTGTTAACACCCACCTGATAATGTAGCCTGATGAAGGTTTGGGAGCTGGAGGCCTGCATGGGGAGAAAAAACAAGTCAGGAGCTGCCAGTTTCAACTGCTCCAGGGAGGCCAGGCAAGGATGCTTAAAGGTCCTAAAGGAGAAGGGCCATGAAGGCAGCCAGGGCAAGGATGTAAGCCCTGTCCCGTAGCCTGTACCAGCCTTGTTCCAGCACCGCTTATTGGGACAGTGACCCTGCCTTCCCAAGAAGGGAAAGTGATGCCTGGGTGGCAGCCTAGCACCATGGGAACAGACAGTGCCAGACTGGGAGTCAGGGGATTGATCATCTGGGAGGTCTTGGGCAAATCACTAGTCTGCTCTGGGCCTCAGTTTCCTCCTCTGTAAAATCAAGGGGGTTGCTAAACAAAGTCAAACTGTATATAACAATTAATTTCTGGTACTAGTTTCTTTCTCATTCTTTTCAGTTTGACACATTTTTGTTTGTTGGTGATTGTTAAGTTCACAATAAAAAAGAATTTTTTTTAAGAGCCTGGCTCATTTCATTTTTCCCACTGATAACATTTTGTGAGCTTGGATCACAACACATTCATAAAGATGTCATAGTATTAGAGAATTAGAGGTGGCAGGGACCTCATTTAGTCCAGCTCCCTCATTTTAAAGAGGAGGAAAATGAGGTTCCGAGAAGGGAAGGGAAGGGAAGAGAATACGCATTTATATAGCGCTTACTACATGCCAACGCTACCGTGCTAAGAACTTTTTTAAAAAATAAATATTATCTCATTTGATCCTAGGTGTTATTATTATCCCCATTTTACAGTTGAAAAACTGGGGCAAATGGAGGTGAAATGACTTGCCCAGGAACATGCAGCTAGTTAAATGTCTGAGGCCATATTTGAACTCAGGATTTCCTGGCTCCAGGCCCAGATCTCTATCCACTGGGACACCAGCTGCCTCAAGAGAAGTGGCTTGCTCACGGTCAAATAGCTACCAAGTAACAGAGTGGATTGAAAGCCAGGTCCTGGGCCTCCCAATCCACTTGGCTGCAGCTCTTTAACTCCAATGGAGTTGTGTTTTCTTTCACATGGATATTTCCTTTGTCATTGTAGACCAGGCGTGTCTAGCAGGCTGCCCTCTGGCTAACATGGCCAGATTAAAATGTAATTGGGAAATGGTTAACAAAAGAAAGCAAACTTACAGTGGAACCTACATAATGGTGGTTTTCCAAGTCAGTCTGCAGCCTGCAGGGGATCCTGATACAGGTTGAGTGGCCCCTATTTCTATCTGAGTTTGACCCCAATGGTGCAGAACATGACTGAGCTGGGATTTCTGCTCTCAGAGACTCTCATTCATGCTCTGCCTTTGATCTTCCATAGAGGATCCAACCAACATACTGAAGGCCCTTTCTTTGGCTTCTCTTTACATTTTGAGACAACCCATGGGGCTCGTGGGCTGTGCTTTCTCACTCTGGGCTTGGAGTCAGAGGGTCCCCCCTCCCCCCGAGGCCAAGGCCTAGGCCTAGGCTAAGGGAAAGCTTTTGGAGCTGGTCCCTGACATGGGCAGTGGGACATAGTGGCAAGCTCAGAGCTTGGAGTAAGGCCAGCCAATTTACCACCTGTGCTGCGCACCCTTGGACAAGCCTCTTCCCCTCTCTGAGTCTGGGCTTCCCTCAGTGGAATGAGTACTAGCTCTAGAGTAGAGGACCCGAGTTCCAACAAGAACTTGTGTGGCCTTGGACAAGTCCCTCAACCCCTCCCTCTTGCTTTTCCTCACCGGAGGATAATGGCTTTGGACTACATGGTCTCTGAGGTCCCTTTCACCCCTAGTTTGCTGATCCTTCGAAAATAAAGGAAGTGGGTGGACTCCTACAGTTTCTTCTAGCTCCAATATCTATGACACTGCAAAGTAGAAAGACCCCCTATTAGCTAACTCCGGGTGCCTGCTGTTCCTAACTTGAAGGAAAGTCAGAGTGTAACATCCATATGTCAGGAGACTCTCAAGACTTACACATGCTGCCCCTAGTTAATAATACATTTGTTCAACTCTCTCCCAAGGAGCTCTGAACACTTTGAAGACGTCACTGTCAGAACGCCCTGCAGGACAGCATCCTTACCCCCGGGTTGGAACTGGCATGCACCATGTGTGCCACCAAGAGGCTGCAGTGCCTTACTTAGTAAGAAGGGCAGACTCTCAGGAACGTGTATGCATGGGGGTCTCTATGGTTTTCAAAGCACTTTTACATACCCCCTCATTTGATCTACAGAGAGCAGGGAATGAATGAATGAATGAATGAATGAATGAGAAAGCATTTACTAAGTGCTTACTATGTACTGTGCTAAATGCTATGGATACAAAAAGAAAAAGCAAGACAATTTCTGTTCTCCGGGAACTCATATTCCAATAGGGGAAACAACACATAAAAGAGGGCTTGGCCTCAAGGGGACATAGAAAGGCCTAAAACTCTGATAGGTTCATTAGCAGGGCAGATGGCAAGGTCCAGGAGTCCTTAGCATGCCTAAGTCAGTCAGATGACAGTGCCCAGGCATCTGGGCATAGAGACCTTCAATTTTACAAAAGAGGAAAACTGAGGCCCAGAGAAGGGAAAGTGACTTGCCCAAGATCCCACAGCTACTAAATGGCAGAGCCAATTCTTTACCCCAGGTCTTCTGACATGCCCAATTTCCTCTTTATATAGCCCACCTCCCTTTCAAAGATAGGGCAGCAGAAAAGAGAAAATCCTCTCCCTAGCATGGAATATCCTCCACTGTCTATGATCATTGACCAATCAAGCCCATTATTCTGGGTCTAACAATGGCAGGAAGGAACTGACTATGTTCCAGTGAGTGAGAATCTCCTACGACGCACAGAAATACACTGAATGTCATGGACATTCACGTCACTTCTCTTGTAGCATCTGACCCCACTGCCATATGGCTCTCAAAAATATTCTTATCCCCTACATTTCTACCACCTGTGTGTGGTGAGAAGTGCTGGGCTAGACGAGAGGGCTACCTTCTACATAGTGGGCCATGCCCCTCCCTCAGTGGAGAATGAGCAAAAGAGTTTGGAAAGGTGCCTTCATCATACCTCTCCTTCCGGGGTGTTATGAGTGGAGGTGCAGCTGAAGAGGGCTCCTCGCTGGGAGGTAACACTCTGGGGAAAAGAGACATAACTTTGCTGAGGGTTGTAGGCAATAGTGCCCCTCCTCAGAGCTACTTCCCAGAGGGGGAAAGCAAATTTACCTTTATCCTGTGTCCCTACCCCATGTTACTGGCCCAAATCTGCCTCATATACCCAGCCAGTATACTCTCTCCCCAGCTGCCACCCTCTTCCACTAAGTACTTCAGTCTGATACACCTGGTAGCCTCTGGGGCACATTGATAGGAGCTCTACCTTCCTCATTCTAGCTACAAGATAAATGAGTGACAAAGAATATGGGAACTGACTTAAGATGTCTAACAGGTCAACCCCCATTAAGTCAAGTGTTAGGAAGCTAACTAGGTTGACCACCTGAAACTAAGAGAAAAGGTCTCTAGCTACCCTTAGGATAGGGAAAAAAGGGTATTTAAGGACAACCAGGGATGAGGGGCACATGGGGTCAGTCATGGTCATATGTAAAGCTCTGTATCTCCCCCCCCCTCCACTGCCTTGGGCTTGACACTGGCATACTAGTTAGGGCCTGGCTCTTGGCCAAACTGGGCCTTTCACCACCTTTTAATCAGGGCCCTTTCCTTCCTGCCCTTTTCTACCCCTTCCCCACTTCATTCAGGCAGAGAACTCCTAGGGGCTGCAGCATTCCAGAGTCACAACCAGAAGTTTCTCTAGAGTACTCACATGGTCTGGCCTTCTGTATCATCTGGTTTGTGAATCCAGCTGTCGTCACCTTTGATGGTGGTTCGAACTTTCATTTGTTTGATGACATTTTTCTGATCACCTTCTCCAGATTGAGGATATCCTATAAAGAAAGTATAGATAGCTACTTTCCAAAGGAAAGTGGCATTTGGAGTGGAGTGGGGGGAGAAGTGACCGTGTCATGGGTAAGGATGAATTGGATTAATGTCCCTCAATAGGCAAGGCTGATGAGCCCATTTGTTTGGAGGATGTTATTCATCTGTGTGAAAGATAACCATCTGCTGAAGAAAGTAACGCTATCTATAGTCATATGAAAAAATGCTTTAAATCACTATTGATCAGAGAAATGCAAATCAAAACAACTCTGAGGTACCATATCACACCTATCAGATTGGCTAACATAATAAAACAGGAAAATGATAAATGTTGGAGAAGATGTGGGAAAATTGGAACACTAATGCATTGTTGGTGGAGTTGTGAACTGACCCAACCATTCTGGAGAACAATTTGGAACTATGCTCAAAGGGCTATAAAAATGTGCATACTCAGCAACAGCACTTGTAGGGCTGTATCCCAAAGAGACCATAAAAATGGGAAAAGGACCCACATGTACAAAAATATTTATAGCAGCTCTTTCTGTGGTGGCAAAGAATTGGAAATTGAGGGGACGCCCATCAATTGGGGAATGGCTGAGCAAGTTGTGGTATATGAATGTGATGGAATACTATCGTTCCATAAAAAATGGTGAGAAGGCAAGTTTCAGAAAAACCTGGAAAGATTTACATGAACTGATGCTGAGTGAAGTGAGCAGAACCAGGAGAACATTGTACACAGCAACAGCAACAGCAACATTGGGCGATGACTAACTTTGATAGACTTAGCCCTTCTCAGCAATGCAAAGATCTAAGACATCTCCAAAAGTCTCATGATGGAAAATGCTATCCACATCCAGAGAAAGAACTATGGAGTTTGAATGCAGATTGAAGCATACTATTTGCTCTTTTTTCTTCTTCTGTTGTGTTTTGTTTCCTCTTTCTTGTGGTTCCTTCTATTGGTTCTAATTCTTCCTTACAACATCACTAATGTGAAAATGTTTAATAGGAATGTATATGTATAGCCTGTATCAAGTTGCATGCCATCTTGGGGAGGGAGGTGGGGAGGGAGGGGGAGAAAAATTGAAAACTCAAGAGCTTATGGAAATGACAGTTGACAAATCAAAATAAATTAATAAAAAAAAAACCATCTGCTAGCTAAGTAAGGTCCCATGCCTGGGTCATCATCATCACTGGGGTAGGGGGAGACAATATTCAGTGATTCTGGATGGTAAATATATCATCCTAAAATTGACCTACATTTGGTCCTTTCAAGTATTCCAATTATTAGCCCTGCTCACTGATGGACACAAATGAGTATAGGAAACCAAGGTGATCTTTGCTCAAACCAATGGTTACAGTTGAAGACTAAGGTCTCCTTTCCTATTTCTTGATTACACCCAATTTCAGTCTTTATCCGTGATAGATAACTCCACTGTCTACTCCAGGGACAGAAATGGAGGCAGAGTTTTGCCCATCTCCATTCTAGAGAACATATGCAGCCCAGAGATTCTTCCCACCTAGCCTCATTTTACAGCTAGAGGAAAAAAATGGCATCCAGTTCTAGTCACGTCTGCACAATGAGTCATTGGCAAAGTTTCAGCAGCAGCATCACCACTGTGGCTAGAAGTCCTGAGCTATGCACAGAGCTACAGAGGGAAGGAGATGGGGTCCTCGGCATTTAGGGTGTCTGTTATCTAAGACAGACAAGGGTGATGATGCAGACAATGGAATTCCAGGGTGTGAATTAAATAGACAGCTGCACTTCGAAGTTACCAAGGTGAGCTCATGTAATGGAATGGGCGAGGACAGAGGCTGCTCAAGGGTGCCATGCATTGGAGGGGAGACAAGAGCCCTGCTAGAGCCGGGGGAAGGCCTCATGGTCTGGGGCGGCCGTAGTGGAGAGAAGGAAAGACTCCACAGCCCCCAGGCTTCATGCCCCAATCACCAGACTGGGATGATCACATCCTCAGCCAGAGAGGTGGCCTACATGAAGTATAAGGTTACAGGACACGGAGCCCCACAGACTGCCTGCCTCAAGGTGTGCTAGTACATGGTGGAAACACTTCAGTAACTTAGCGGCCAGAACAAGGTCCTCTAGCTCAGGTGGCTGGGCACAGAGCCTAGCATGGCATTTTTAGCTCAATCCTCTCAGCTGAGAAGTTCTCAGAGAGTAAAGGAGAGGGGCAGAGGCCTGGAAAAAAAAGGGACAGGGACCTGAGAGGCAGGAGTCAAGGGACTTACCTTTGGGGGTTTTTCCGAAAGGCATCATATTGTGGCCGTGTATTCACAGGTCAGAGCAATACAGCAAATGGTTCTGGGGGAAACAAGACATTGACTGTTGTTGCAGCCAGTGGCAGAACTTGGTTCAGTGCCCTAAATCCCACCACTCCCAGAGAGCTCTGCCAGGCAGCAGTGGCTTCTTCTCCACATCTGTGGCTAATTAGATGGGGACAAAACCCACCAGCAATGATCCCAGAAGCTTTGAGCAGCTGAGTGTGCTCAGCAAACAACTTAATCCAACAAAGTACCAAAAAAATGGAAACAGTTCTTGTCCTCCAGGAGCTTACATTTGGCTGGGAAGAGAGGGGAGCAACAACATGCAAACAGGTCAGTAATAATGGATGATAATGATAATTGATAATTGATGATGATGACAATTGAAGGAGTGGGGAGAGAACACTGGCTACTAGAGAAAAGCTTTCAGGAACTGAGCCTGGAAGGAAACCTCATGGAAAATCATGGGATCAAAGATGGTGAGCTGGAAGGGACAGAGATCAGTTAATCCAACCTCCTTGTTTTACAGATAAGAAAAATGAGGCCCAGAGAAGTCAATTGACTTGTCTGAGGTCACACACACATACGGGATAAACAGGATTTGAACCTCACTCTATTGACTGCAAATCTGCTCTGTGCCACCTAGAAAATATTCTTCTTCCTCCAGGCTCTCTGACTTAGGACAACCTTCAGAGATCATCCTGCCCACCTCCTCCCCCAGCATTACAGATGGGAAAGCTGAGGCCCAGAGAGGTAAACTCAGGGCCAAGTGTCAAGCCTAGGTGGCAGCAATTGCCAAGAATGGCAGGGATTTTTCTCTTCTGCTAAATCATAGCCTGGCATGAAGAAGACCATCAGTACTGTGCCCCATAGTGATGGATTTCCAGAGGTTCCAGTTCTCAGTACCTTAGGAGCCTACAGAGATTGGACTAGGGCCCAAGCATACTACCTGTGGTGGATTGAGCCTGGAGTTGGGCTGGACCTTGGTGGGGCTAGAACCAAGGCCCTCCCTCCCTTATCCACAACTTAATAAATGCTTGCTGAATGACAGATTCCTAGGCCAGCCTTCCAAGCACCTGAAGACATCACATGATGGCTGTGCCTTTCAGAGCCTGTCATCCCCTAATGATCCCCTTCCCTCACCCTCAAATCATCTTTTCTTCAAGCTCAGTATTTCTAGTTGTTCCAGTTGATCTCAGCCAGTCCCCTCCTCATGCTTGGTTGCCCTCCTCTGCACAGTCTCCAGCTCATCAAAAGCCTGAGCCCATTCACCCCAGATGTGGCCTGCCCAGGGCATTCCAAAATGGCAAGATCCTGGGCTCAGGAGTTCTGGAGAAGAACCCTTCTTAATGCAGCCAAAGATAATGTGAGCTCTGGGGGCCACCATTTCCAGTGCTGCCCCATACTGACCTTGCAGGAAACATGACTCCCCCACCCCCAGCACTTCCTAGCTAAAAATGTTGAAGAACAGAGCTCAGGTGTCTGGAGCACTCCCTGGAGGACTTTTTCTAAGGAGACATAGCCCCACTACGGACTGTTCTTTGGATGTTGTCATCTTACCCTTTCCAAATTCATCTAACTATAAAGGGTTGTGCCCCAGTAACAGCAACACTGTGCAATGACCAGCTTTGATAGACTTTGCTTTTCTTAGCAGTTCAATGATCTAAGACAATTCCAAAAGACTCATGATGGAAAATGCTATCCACATCCAGAGAAAGAACTATGGAGTCTGAATGCAGATGGAAGCATACTATTTGCTCTCTTTTTTTGTTTTTTTTTTCTTTCTTGTGGTTTTCCTCTTTTGTTCTCATTCTTCTTTCACAACATGACTAATGTGGAAATAGGTTTAATATGACTGTCCATGCATAGCCTATATCAGATTGCATGCCATCTTGAGGAAGGAGAAAAAAGATTGGAACTCAAAATCTTATAAAAGTGAATGTTGAAAACTATCTTTACATGCAATTGGAAAAAATAAAATACTATTAAGTAGGGGAAAAAGGGTTGTGCCCTAGTTCACATCTCTCCATACTGTCCACACATACAGCATGAACAACTTGGGCAAATGCTTTGCCAAAATCTAGGTAAACTCTTACTGACAGTGCTCTCCTCATCTATCAATCTCTGGCCAATCTATCATAACCTGTTTGTGAAGAAGTCATGCTGGCTTTCTCTGATTAAACACTCCCTTTTCTAAATGTTCATGAACTGTCCCCTTAATAAGATGTGTGAGACGTTTGCCAGGAATTTCAATCAAGCCCATTGGCTTATGATTGACAGGTAGCTTTCTCCTCTTATTTGAAATTTGGGACATTTGCTCTGCTCCAGCCTGGGGCTAACTTCTCTTCTCCAGAATACCAATAGAGGCTTAGTAAGTACCTCAGCTAGTTCTTTCAGTACTTGGGCATGTGGTTCTTCTGGGCCAAGTGACTCGCCCTCATCAAAATGCTCTCTTATTATCTGCCTACTTATCTTGGGTTTAAAGTCATTTTTATTCTGTGCTTTCTAGTCCAAAGACCAAAGATCCCTGGCAGAGAAAACAGAATAAAAATGAGAATTGAGTTGTTCTGTCCTCCCTTGGTCAATGATCCATTCCATCATAACATCACCCCCATTCTCTGAGTCCCTCTTTCATCCTCTTTTCCCCATTATAACTGAAAACAAAAACAAATGAACCCAGTCCTACAGAAGAAATTAGCATCTTCTAAATTCAGACAGAAAGAAGAGGGCAAGGGGAAAGGGTTGGGGGAAGAGGATAAGGGAGGGATCTTTGAGGGGGTAGGTTAAGGAATAGGAGGGCAAGGTGGCAGGGTAGAAGTAAAGTAGAGGAGTCAGAAGGCATAGGAAATAAGAGATACACACAAGCAAGCATAAAATAAAGATCAGGAATAGAATTTATTATGGGAAAAAACCAGGGGTAGTAATCGTGATCTCCAACAAAATTAAAGCTAAAATAGATTTAAGCAAAAGAGAAAAATAGGGAAACTATACTATATGTTAGCTATATTAATCAATATTGTCTTAGACTATTTAAAATAACTAACCAGTATAAGGTTGGAATATTGCTGTGATGTAAGAAATGATGAGTCAGTGGACTTAGAAAAATATGGAAAGACTTGGACTTATGAAGGAAGAAGTTATCCACCCTCAGAGAAGAGGACAAACAAGTATAGTATAGCCTTACATAGATGCATATGAATGTATATGTCTATATGTGAGGATGATTATAGATATCTAAGCAGATGTATGTGTATGTAAGTGTATGTATGTTTGTATATGTTTGTGTGTATATATGTATATGTATGTATGTGTGTATATTTGTGCTTAATTGTAGCCGTATTGGGGAGGAAGGAGGAGGAAGGGGGACAAAAGAGCAAAGTAAAAAGTGCACAGCAGAGAACAAAAGAAAACTCACAAGGAAGCAAAGCAAACATGGACAACTCTGAACACAGTGCATAGTTTTTACTATATAGGCTTCCTCGAAATGGAAATTTACTGCTGTATATTTTGAATCCTCTCAAGTTCTGCTGTGCACATGGCAATGCTTTTTTTCTTTTCCTATTTTGTATTTAAGTTTAAAATAAATTAATAAAAAAAGAAATAAAAGGAAATTAGCAGCCCATGTACAGTTAAGTCCTGCTGGGGCTGTGCAGCCATTAGGGTCAGGGCTCAGTGCTGAGAATTGCCATTACAGGCTCAACCAGCGGTGCCTTCAGCTGTCCAGTGCCCAAGAGCTGAGACTGATGGGGGGGACGCCTAAGCCCTCTCTGATTGCTCTGTTTCTGGAGGTTTTGTTCACTGAAAGGGTCACTGAATTGACTCACCTGGTTTGTATCGGTGCTATGTGAACTTTGAAAGGCATCAGTAGCCAGGTTTCCCTAGAAGGATGCATGTCAAACAACAGGTTTCCTATCACTTACTGAACTCTGTTCCTATCTAAATGATCAGAATTGCTACAGCTGGGTATGGTGGAAGCCTACTGGATCTGAAGTTAGAGGGCTTGGCTCCAAACCCCAGTTTTGATACTTACTAGCTGTGTGACCTTGAATGAGTGAGTCACTTCTCCTCTCTGGGCCTCAGTTTCCTCAACTGTAAAATGAGTGGATTTGACTTTGGTCTCAGGTTCATTCCAGCTCTAGATTTATGATCCTATGATCCTCTATCATGCTTAAAAATGCTTCACCCCTTCCTCCCTCCCCATTATGGTCTAAGGCAGCCTGGTACAGTGAAAAGAACAGTGGCCTGGGATTCGGGAAACTGGCATTTGAGACCTGGCCCTGCCACTCATTAATCATGTGACTTTGGTTCAAATTACTTAGCCTTTCTGGGCCTCAGTTTCCTCAACTGTACAAATGAGGGCATTCTCATCTTTTCCATTCTGTTCAGTTTGTGCAAATCCATGGATCCCATCAGTCATTTCTTCCTTCCTCTCCCTCCAAACACATACCTGCTGCTGCTTTCAGCCTGTAGCAAACAGTTATTCTATTGGTTACACACAATCTCCCTTGGATGACTTAAGTGGATTCCAAACTTCTGTGTAAAAGCCACTTTAGTAAAGGCCACCCAAAGACCACACACTTTGCTCTGTGTCTGTGTGGTGTGTGTGTGTGTGTGTGTGTGTGTGTGTGCGTGTGCACGTACATGCTTGTGCCTGCTTAACCCCAACCCTGGGTTTATGCTTTGGACCAATCTGGGAATCCTTGGCCTCCAGGGAAGGCCCTCCTACACCCACTGTGAGCAAATCCAACCAAATCAACAAACACTGAAAACCACCTGCTCCAGATAGAAGCTCTCTGGTTTCCCAAACTGGTGATAAAAGGTAGAATTCTACCTCCAGGGAACATCACGCAATCTTTCAGGACAACCCGGGCTGATCCCTGGCACACAGCTGTCCATTGGCTCACACATTTTGAGCCAGAAGGACCCTTAGAGGGCATTTAGTCCAACTCTCTCATTTTACAGATGAGGAGACCAAGGTTCAGAGAATGCTCAAGATCATGCCTGTAGTAAAAGTGGCAGATACTGGCTTTGCTTAATACC